AACAGTACATCAACAATGATCCTAGTGATACAGAATGAGTTTTTTTATTGAAATGTACAATAAACTGCTCCATAATCATTTCAAGAATAAAGTGAAAAAGATATTAGGAGATAAGTTCTCAATACTGCTATGACATATCATTATCTTGGAAATCTGTACACAAAATCTTCGATTCCTATCCTTTGGGTGGGCATGAATTACAATGTCTTAACAGACTAAAGTAACACAAGCAAATCATTGTTTTCTACTTTAAAACAAAGCTCCGTTTGAGTCTGATGTTCTACCACACTTCAGCCTACATGCAATGTTTAAATATTTATGGAGGTAAACAGACTTATTTTGTGCTGTGTAACATACTTCCTCTTGCATCTGAATAGACCAGAGTGTACAAATATACAGCATGAAATATAGATCCTGCATGGTTGACTGTGAGTTCACATACAGTACATATCTGGCAAGCTGCACTGAGACAGTCTCCAACCTAAGTTAGGTAGCTCAAGGAGTTTGAGCACATTAAAACCTCACAACAACTCAGGAAGAGCCACAATAGACTCTCAACAACCATAGTCTCCATCAGCATCAACTCAACCAATGGTTATGGTGTCTTTTAAAAGCAAGTACTGTAGCTGATAAGAATAGTGTGATTGCAAATATTAGTTATCTCCATTTCACAGTGCTAGAAGAAAACCATCTATACATAATCTCTGTTTTTGCTTCAGATAAATAAAGATAGCTGATACACACCTTTATAAAGCTTACTGGCCTTATTTAATAGCAGCTGTTAACTTTTACAACAAACTTTAATCTTTCAAGATGTTCCCTTAAACACATGTATTAGATACACATGTAAACTAATTTCACTACTTGAAGTTAATTACCATGCTGAAAATATATATCATGCTGATTCATAAGTGCTATCGGTGGAGCCCACTTTGACTATGTATTTAAACAGTATATACAGTATACAAATACTTAAATCAGAGCATCAACAACTGTACTGATCTTAATAAAATTATTATTCGCATTCCAGCAGTCCTGGAAACAGCTTCTAATTGCTGCAAAAAAAACCATCCTGTTCCCATCACTCCGACCCACTTTCGATGGCGTCTCCACGGCCAGAGGCAGTAATACACACCCCCACCCGGGCTCTGAAGGGAGGGGCTGCAGTGAGCAACACGCAGAGACACTGTTGCCATGGGAACTCCAGCTGTTGTGAGCTACTGTAGGAAAGAGTCCTGTTCAAAACAGTTGGGAAATATTTAGACAAGGCAGGTGTTTTGTCATTTATTAAACAGTTTCATTAACTACAATGTGTTTAGGGTAAAGGTTCAGAAGAGTAGAGTTATGTGATTATTACACCAGACCGTGACAATGAATACTTAACAAAACTAAAATCTAAATGTCTTCATGCTTCATTTGTCTTTTTTATAAACAACCTTTTATCCACCTTAATGTCACCCTTTAATCCCAATTATTTGTTTAATTTCTGTTTCTATGTGTTCCAAATAGCAAGGCCTGTACAGTCCGGGACTATTGTCCTACCCTTCTCAGATGAGAAAACTTCATCACAGTGCAGGAAAGGCGATACCTTCTAGGAACACATGAGTCCTTTCTGCGCACAGCAATTTATCATCATAGTTCTCCTGTCTGGAAAGGGGAGCTGCTTTTCAGTAAAGATTTATTCTTGGTTGGGAGACTCTATAATAAATCACCACATTGATTCTCCTTGAATTACTAGATCACACTTATTAAAGAGAGCAGCCTGCGATGAAGTATTAGCTTCTCTGTGACCAATGCCATAAAACTGACCTGATATAATTACAGCAAAAGAAGACATTTGCTCTGTAGAGCTATATTTACTGTCTACTATTTAATTATTTTATACAGATGCCTGTTATCTTAATGAAACACTCCAGACTAAAATAGAATGGACAGGTTTTTCTAAAGCAACATTGTGAATTTTCTATACATCTTCATCTTCCATAATTTTATTTTTTGACACTTTGTATGAGTTGTATGAGTTCCAAAGCTCACCGATAAGACTGATGGTTTACACAAAAAATAAATTGTCTAGTTTACTATTACACCAGAATCTAGATCATTGATATAAAGGTATATACAGTATATATAAGGACAATCAGTGGTCCTGTGTTCCAAGAATGACTGTTAACAAACTATAATAAGAGGGGTAAACTTAAACAAATACTGGAATTTTGAGCTCCCCTTTCACATGAAAGATGAACTGTTCATTTCTGCCACAAATCTACTTGTTTTGCATACCTAAACTGCTAATTATTTAAATTACAAATTATAACTCTGATGTGTGCAACTATTTCAATAACAGCTTTAACTAATGCTGCACCAAATACCTAAGGTAGTCATGCCACATGGCAAACTGTAAATATACCAGTGGCCTTTGGCCTGTCCATATCTTTTTATTTATGTTTGGTGCGTGTTAGTCTCAACAATTTTGAATGACAAATCTTAGATCCATAAAAAGAAGAGGTCATTCATCCCATATCTAGTTTTGGTTCAGTTTTAGATAGTTCCCTTTTTTTTGTTGGGCACTACATTAGCGTTACTCCAGTCCCTGGTTTTTAGAGTCCATAGGATGTTATAGTAGCTTTAGAGTTTTGATAATGGCTCACAGGTAATAAATCTTGTTTCCTGAAGTACAGTTAGTAGAATACCATCAGACCCAGGATTTGTTTATCTTAGTGCTTCTAGTCCTTGTAACACTTTTCCATCTTCTGTGGTAAGTCTGTTAAATATAGACGTCTGTCTTTCCTCAGCCTGAGGTAGATAGTGGATTTCTATCTTAGTGAACACCTAAATGAAAAATCCATTTAGCTTTTGAAATACTAAGAAAAACATATTTGTTTTACACTTCACTATACACTTATTTTTTATTGATTTTTTTCTTACATTTGCAATCATTATGTTACTTTTACATGGTTTCTGGTATTTTCTGATCATTTTGTTAAGTAGTTTTCTTCTCCTTATACTGATTTATAAAACCACTTGAGCCACTGTTTTCTAGCCTTTGATTGACTTACCCCTATGGATCTGTATATCTGTTCTTTGCTTAAAATAAAATATCTTTTAAGTGTTGCCATCCAATCTCTAGTGCTGAGTACATGTCTTACTTATCCCTGTATACCTCTTGTAAGCTCTGGTTTGAGGACAGTCCTTCTTGATATGATAAAAGTTAAAAATCTCTCACACAAACCGTTTCGGCTTCTACAGTACATCCCTACATGATTCTAATTTCATTATATAATGTTAATTTACAACTAATATCTAAATCTGGAGGTATGTACTATACTTCTAAGTGTTTGAATAGTAATTAATAATAAACTTTATTTTATATGGCGCCTTTAAGATGTGCTGAATATAGAAGGAGCAGAGGGGTAAGGAACAGAACCAGTTAAGTAAAGGCTCATCTAAAGAAGAAGGTTGATCTTTATAGTGACTCTGCCCTTTTATAATTATAATTAATTATTAATAAAAATAAATACTTATACTTATATAGCGCTTTTTTGGACACTCCACTAAAAGCACTTTACAGGTAATGGGGACTCCCCTCCAACTACCACCAATGTGTAGAATCCACTTTTTATGCACTATAAAACACATAATTCTTACCCAGGGTTTCTAAACCTGGACCTGGGACGGTCACACCTGCTGGGTTTTGCTCTATCTGAGCCCTTACTTAAATAATTGAACCTTAATAGCACTAATAACCTTTTAACAGGTTTAATGTGACCTGGTTGCTATTTTAGTTCCTTAACTTGTAGGAGATTGCCTTTTAACTATTGTGTATTTTAAGGTATATACAGTTCTTAAGGAGAAACAATCTAGTACTTTGAAAAGGAAAAAAAAACTTGCAAAGGTTCTAACCAAACAAAATATTGATTCAATTAAGGATTTATTTAAGCTCTGTTGCATTGATAACCAGCGGGTATGTGTGTCCCCAGGATCAAACCTTGTAGATTCTGAGATGCTTGAATGAACTTGGTTAATTTAATGTGCTTGAAGTTTCTTTTTGGTATATAGTGCTTTCCCCCTCTTACTACTGTATGTATCTATTCGATTTGTATTCGTTACTATCACAATTCTTCAGCCACGTTTCTATTATACCAATCACATCGTAATTGCCAGGTGATGTAGCAGATTCTATCTCATACAGTTTGTCTCTAAGCTCATTTGCTGAGCGGAGGTAGGGTCTGTGTCGAGGTGAAAGTCTGGAGACTGCACTCTGGAAGGCAGGAAAGTGGGGGTGTCCTGTGGTGAGAGACACTGGTGGGCAAAGGTTGTCTCAGTTTGTGGAGACGAATCAAACCCAGGCTGGCCCGTCGGGTCAGGGTTCAGGAGTCGGAGTCAGGGGTCAGGGGGAGTCTCATCCACGGTGAAGCTGTTGTGAAAGCAGGGAAGGACCTGCTCAGCTCTACGGGGTTAATTAATCCGCCCTTCGGGGTGTTCAGGTAGTCTTATTTCAAGACGCACTTTGAAATGAGTTTCACCATTTTCCTTTTGAATGTCTTTTTGACATCAGAGTGCACCAGCTGCCTATCGGCTGCTGTATGAGCTTATCCACTGAAAATAGATTAATCCCCTTGTGTCCATGATCAATAGGCTTGCCTGGAGAGTGACTCACTGCCCTTTTCTGACACTTCCCTTATAATATTTAAAGGGAAAAGAAAAAAAACACGTCTGGGGAGGAGATTCGCTACCGAATAGAAACTAATGGCTCCTTGCTGTGCACTTTGGGGTAAGAATGAATGGTGTAGCCTGTGTTTATTGCCAAATATAATAATAAATAATTGAAATAAAAGACATTTGAAATCGAGATAACTTTTTTTTGTAAAAAGAGACAGCGTCAGTGGTGAATCAACGCAACAAATCAAATTCTATCTGGAGAGTGAATCCCTTGGTTTTTTTTTAAAAGAACGATTTAATTTCTTCGTGCTGTGTCATTTGTTCGTGGTGCGGCCGCTGCAGTCAGTGTTGTTACCCTGTGAAGCTGCGCTCCAGTCCCACCCAGAGCACGTCATCTGCGCGCAGAGCTCTGGCCAGCAGAGGAGAAGACGGGCGCTCTGCAGTACTGACTGGCGGCCGGGCTGCAGCTTGTAGCGGAGGGACCAGCATCGCAAACATGGGCAACATCCAAGTGGGTATCATCACCTTTCTCTCCGCTCTCGTAAAGTGCTTCTGCACCGTTAGGGCAATGGTCCAGCAAAGGAGACAGGAGCCAGCTCTGAAAAATTCATTCGAGAGCTGTTAACGTTTTTTAAAGTTTGTTTTCGGATATTTGGAACGCTTACATGTTACGAATCCTGGAATAGTCATTGAAGTATGTTGTGAGTGTTTATTAATATATAGTTTTAAAATAACGCTGGCCTTATATCTGCTGTGAAATACTTTCTCTTAACCTTGTGAACAAAGTGATTAGGTTTCAAATGTAGTTTTGATTTAGGTTTGGCTCTGGTACCAGTTTACAGGCAGACATTTTCTGTTAAAGTTGAGTATATAATACATGAGGAGGGAAAATGTCTTAATCCTGTTGGGAATCGTTTTTTTCCTCATGCGGTTTAACTAACTAGCATGGATTGTTTTGCAGTACGCTTGTTGTGTACACTAGAACAACGGTATTCTAGTTTTCTGTAAGCGAGGGAACGCACCAGTGAGGCAGTACACTGGCTGGGGGTCAGCAACCCCTCGCTGGAATTCGGCTCAGTCCTGCTAGGGGCCCTGGGTAGACAAGGCGTGTTTAAGAGCTGTGGCAGAGAAGTGCGGACGGGAAGGAAACTGCAGTTCCTGTGATGAGGCTGAGCAGAGCCGGCCCTTCCTTTCTGGAAGCTATTCTGAGGGCGGGTGGAGGGGAGTTCTGCAGACACCCTGTCTGGCTCTCCAGGCTGATTAACAATGACCGTTGTCTGAAAATAAGCGACGTCTCTTTGCTAGTGCTGTTACAGCTTCTGGTGAAACAAAACCATCAGAACAATATGGGGCACGTGTTGCAGAGACTGTGGAGAATATGTGCTTCCAACCTTTTTTAAAATAAGCTTTTTTAGCACTTCAAAATTTAAAACATAAGATGTTTTATAAATAGATATTGAAAACATATTTTAAGTGCTGACTTTCTGCAACTTTAAGATAGTTTGGAGCAGAAGAGAAGCCTGGTGTCCTCTTAAGATTTCTGCCCTGCTTCCTGAATTACAATAAGTATTTTTTGCCCTTAAAGTGTGTTCTTTACACACAGTGACACCAAAAAACAGATTAAAATAACCCTGTCTCAGCTAAGACTGGCATACTCAATACAATAACACACATAGAAAATGTGAATAAAAGTACAAGTAACAATAATGCAAGTACAATAGAGTAAAGCTTTATAATAACAGCATCTCCTGTTGAGACTGGAAGGGCAATGCAGGTGCCATGCAGAGAAAATTAAACATTAAGAACTAAGTGTACAGACAGTGTGGATACATATATGCAATGTCAACACACTGTAGTTGTGTATACATTGATTATATTGTATTGAGTAAACGTAATTAACAAAAAATATTACCAATCTGAGAATGAAAACTATTAGTGAGATACAGCATGAATGTTACTGAAGGATGTTGCTGAGCTCAGCGATCAACTGTGCTGTCTGAACATGTAAGTCTTGAGTAGCACTGACAGGTGGTCATGCACTGAGCACTGAGTCATCCCTTCATTGAGAGTAGAGTAGATAATGAGCTGATTGTGGTAGTGGGAGTACAGAGCTGGGGTAGTGTACAGAAGATCTTGTATAACAATAAGAAGTTAGTGTTCTAAATATTAAAAATGTTTTTGCTAGTTGTTATTGTTTTGGCAATGCTGTAATTCATGCCACAAATCTGAATATGATATGCCCTTGAATTTGAATGTGATAAGAGGCTGAAGACAGGCAAGAGCAGAGTGGCTGAGACAACAGGAGCTGAGAAATGTAGATTTGAGAAAGAGGTGTGTAGCTACAGAGAGACTAAAGTAATGGGGAGCATGAGAGAAAAGACGAGGTGTGTTAAGAACTTCGGTCACTTGGAATGGGCAGCTTGCAGGGCAGCCCATGAAGAAAATCGGGGTCTGGACTAGGAGTTGTATAGACCAGGATTCTGTGAATGAAGTGGCAGGGATGTGCCAGAAATGTGTTGGCACTGAGAGGAGGAGCGGGTGCTGATGGATTCAAGAAGAAAACCAAAGAAGAGGAAGAGGTATGGAGAAAAGTAGGTCTTGCTTTGAGAAGCTGAGTTCAGGGTGATGGGAGAGCATCCAAAAGGAGAGAGCTGTGAGCCTCGCAGGTATACAGTAGGAATATCAGTGGGAAGCGATGAGAGGACTTGGGGAGCAGGAGGAAAGATGGGACAGCAGCTGACTCAGAACAAGACCTCAGGAATGGACAGGAGAGCAGTTTCTGTGCAGCAGGCCAGTGGAAAGCCAGGCTGTGGAGTGTCAAGCACTGAGTGCTGCAAGAACAGAGAGAAAAGAAAGAGAAAGGGAAGACAGGGACTAGACTATAACTGAAGGTATGAGGTGTAAAGGAAAAATACAGATATATTTTGTACCAGAATGTGTTATTTCTATACTCTATATTCTATATTTCTACATGGGACATAAATTATATTTGTTAGGCGGGTAGATGAATGGGATAGGCTTGCATACAAACCTGAGTGAGAGCCAGCAGTGTATCTAACCGACCAGAGCTATATAACTGAAAGAGCTGGAGTTGTTCTGCTGGGCCTCAGCAATGCTCAGCAGAGACTGGGGAAGCCCACTTCTTCACACTGACCCATTCTTACACACAGGAATGGGAGCAGAACAGAGGGAAAGTCTGACATTCACACTGCAGTTATACTATGATGTCTTAGTTGAAAAAGGCAGCTTTGACACTCAGGCATGTTACTAATACACTAATACACAGACTTTACCATCTCTTGTGCTATTTTGCAAACAGTGTTTCCAGTTCTGTGACTATTGTGCCTTCTATATTCTTGTAGAAGAGCTTAGAATAAGTAGCTGGACAACATGAGAGAGGTTATAGGGGGCTTTTCTAACCAGATTAGTGATCCTGGGTCCTTGTGGTAAAAAACTCCCTTAAAATTAGAACCAAATCTGGAATTTTGTCTGTTCTTTTCTCCCAGCCTACCATTGTGGACTATCCTGACTTTGAGGTAGTGGCTGACATTAAAGCAATTCGCAAAGCCTGCAAAGGACTAGGTAAGAACCTGCTATGCTTCTTCTAATCAAGTACCACAGCACAGATTCTCAGACCCACCACTGTCGAGATAATTCAAAACACAGATTAGCAGACAGAAAAAGAATGGTGGCCAGATAAAAATCCCATGGTGTTGATTTACAGGGTAAAATGTGAAGTGACTCTATGAGGAAGCTTTTTATGTGCTGTGGTGGGGAATGGTTTGGCTGGTGTTTGTAAATCCAATTGCTTTATCTGTGTGCTTTGAAGGAAATTGTTTGACAAATATGCTTTTAATTTCTCTTCTCATTTGAATATTTGTTTTTCTTCAGGGACTGATGAGGAAGCGATTATTGACATTTTAGCCAACCGATCCAGTGCTCAGCGGCTGGAAATTAAGCAGGCATATTACGAGAAGTACGATGATGTGAGGAAATTTCTGGATTATCTTTACTCAGGATGAACAAACACATTAAATGCAATTGTAGTGGCAAAGCACTGAAAATAATTCTTTGCATAACTGAAAGAGCTGTATTTCCAGGAACTCGTGGAGGTCCTGAAGAAGGAGCTGTCAGGCAGCTTTGAAAAGGGGATCATCGCAATGCTCGACTCGCCCACTGTACTGGCTGCAAAACAGCTGCGGGCGGCGATGAAGGGCCCAGGAACTGACGAGGACGTTCTGGTTGAAATTCTGTGCACCAGAACCAATGAGGTTTGTCAAAGGGGCAGAGCAGAGCTGTACAGGAATGCACACATGTCTTTCACAATGTGTTAAATCTCGTAGTACCACAAAGTTTGCAGAAAAAGCCAGTAAAAAATACAAGGTCTGAAGTCACTGTCCTGTATCTACTCTGTCTACTATATTTGGCTGTGTGGAGTCACCATGTAAAGACAAATGGATTTAGCCTTTGGAATCAGCTAATATTTTCCTATTTATCATGTTTCTGTATGGCTCTTTTTCCTGTACTTTGACAGAAATTAATATAAGGGATTATAATATATCATTTATATACAAGATAAATATTTACTGTTCCATGTGACTGAGTTGAGAATTCAGACAGGGCTGTTCTAGTGACTTTCTCCCCGCTGTTCAGATGTTTCTGTAGTGCAGATGAATGCTACAGGTAATATTTTTACCAGATTTCAAATTAGTTCACATTAACATCTCTTTTTATCCATTAGGTCTTCCTGGAATTAATTTACAGAAACACAAATACAAAGTAAAAACAGAAATACAAATACAAGTTTACAGATATATTCTTAAAATAAGTACCGCAAACTGCAGAGAAGGTACAAATAAATAACAATAACAGAAATGACCACTACAGCAGGCAGATGTGGTATGGAGTCCTGGGCTGAAATGTGCCTGAAACAGTTTGATATCGAGATTGTTGTCCTCATCAAGTCAAATGTCTTTGAAGGTGTTCTGCTCACCAATAAACAAAAAAATATTTCCTATTGTTTCCAACAGGAGGTCAAAGCTGTAAACAATGCCTACAATGAATGTAAGTATTTTGTCAGTAGGAGTCTTGTCTGAAACTAGCATGCTGTCCTTAGTAAATCAATCCAGACTTGTCTGGTTTTCAGTTTTCTCACTGCGTTCCCAGCATAAACAGTTGAAAAAGAACTAGTTAAGAAACAAATCACATTATTGAAAGCTTAACTAAGGAGGTACAATTTAGATTGACCAAATATTCTGTTTCGGAGTTAGTACTAGAAACCTTTAATGACAAAAGGCAACTCTTTATTCACAGCAGCATTAACAATGGCAAAAGGACTAAAGGTGCCTGTTAGGATGATTTCAAGTGGTTAATTAGCCTTTTTGGACAGGTAATGATTTAATATTCAGATGGGTAGAGAGCTGTCAGGGAGATTTGTTCTTTTTTTTTTCTCCAAAGGAACTGAGCTGAGCCAAATTAAAGTCTCTGTTTAATCCCTGTGGTGCATATACAAGCTGTTCAGATCCAGTTGAGCCTCATCTCTAGTGTCTGCTAAGAAACAACCATGAGAATGGTGCTGTTATATCTCCTGACTGTATTCTGTTCTTCCCAGGCAAACAATGAAGAACAGCCCGCTCAGTGCAGCTCTTGTTGACATTTGCACACAGTTCAGCAGTGTTGCTGAGTGATTCTGTGATCTCTGTTGCTGTTGCAGTGTTTGAGAGGGACCTGCAGGAGGACATAGAGGGAGACACCAGTGGGGATGTGAGAAACTTGCTGTTGACTTTACTAGAGGTGAGTACACAGGGAGCCTGAGCAGATATTTTTCGATTGCAGGATCAGTATTAACTGATCCTGCAACCATGAGGATGGGGTGCTTGACGGGTATTTGGGTGGAGCAGTAGCTCTGTGGCCAATGATCTGCGCCTGTGGCTGGAAGATTGCAAGTTCAAATCCCGCAACCGGCAGAGGAGTCCTGCTCCTTTGGGCCCCTGAGCAAGGCCCTTAACCCCAACTGCTCCAGGGGCGCTGTACAATGGCTGACCCTGTGCTCTGACCCCAGGCTTCTCTCCCTGTCTGTGTGTCTGTGTCTCATGGAGAGCAAGCTGGGGTATGCGAAAAGATGAAGTCCTAATGCAAGAAATTGTACAGGGCTAATAAAGTGATGTTATGTTATTTCTCACTGTTAGGCCGACAGGGATGAAGGCTTCGAGGTGGATGAGGCACTGGCTGAAGCAGATGCCACTCACCTTTTTGAGGTATGATTACTTGCCACTGCATTTATTTAAAGAATCAGAACAGATGTTTACACTCTGTAATCTGAGCTCTTGTGAACAAATATAGGCTCAGTAACATCCACTATTTAGCTCCAGTCCGTAAATATATAATCAATCTAAATGAAATTTCTTGCTGCACAAATTCTGTGTTGTGTAGATATGCATATTCATGCTGTGCCAGTTTCATGTGGCACCCTTATGCTTTTGAGTTTTTTCTTTTGATTTCTCTTAGGCTGGAGAGGGAAGGTTTGGGACAGATGAGTCAACCTTTACCAACATCCTGGCCAAGAGGAACTACCTGCAGCTGCAGGCCACCTTCAAAGTGTATGAGTCGGTATGTCCTGTTAGACTGCAGTGCATGCTGTTTTACTCTTCTATTTGATACATTTATTCTGCTCACTGATTTTTGCAAAAATGGTCTTTACAATTTTTGCATGTTTTGTATAGAAAAATAAAGTCCTTTAATGATTAAAATCCATTACAGTTTTAAGATAAAAACAAGTGTTATTGAACAGTTGGAAATCTGACATCTGACCCTCATTGTTACTGTGCACAGTTCAAACAAACCTGACCTCTCTTTCTAGCTTTCAGGGAACGACATTAAGGATGCCATCAAGAGTGAAGCTTCAGGAACTTTGAAGGACTGTTACATCACTTTGGGTAAATATTCAGAGCCATATTTGTGTCGTGCCTTCCCACAAAATGCAATTAATTGTGCCCATCAGCTGGTGTAGGATGATTTTACTTTTTCCACTGTATATGCACCTCCAGATTACAAGTCAATTAAAAGAATCCTGTATTTTTAATACTACACACTATACTACTCTACGCGGAACTGTGACATTGTGCATGACTGTGTTTGTCCACTAGATGTCAGTGCAGCCCTGCAGACATAAAGGTGGGGTGTGGAATGATGTTTTTCAGGCGAAGTGAACAACATGTTTTATTCATGTTTAATTTACAAAAGGGTAGGTTTGGCTGGCAATGAAAATACAAAGGGTTAGGAGTGACACATGCTCCTAACACAAAGACAAACGAGGAGTTGCAATGAAGATGAACAACATATACAATGATTGATTCCGTAAACCTAATCCGTGACAATTTGTAATGCACAATAAACCTATTGACTGCGAATCACCTGTATGAAATACTGTTTATTTTATTTATTGGTTAACATGTTAGTGAAATAAATTTCAATTTGGAAACAAATGAATGTTTAGACATGTTTTCATCAGTTCATGGTGTTAGTTTGCTTTTAATTATAGTTGATTTCAGAGAACATTCCTTACCCAAGTAGTTGACTCTTTGGCTGCAGAAATGTAGTGTTGGAATGGAAAGCAAAGAGCCTGACAGCAGCTGTTTTTGGTTCAGTCAGGTGTGCGAAAAATCTGCAGCTGTACTTTGCCCGGCGTCTACACCACGCCATGAACGGAGTGGGAACTGATGAGGACACACTCATCCGCATCATTGTGGGCCGTTCAGAGGTACTGCCAGTGTCCCCACTCTCTCTCCTATACTGCTACATCACTGCCCATGTCCCAGCTCTCTCTCTCCTACACTGCTACATCACTGCCAGCTCACTGTCCACGCCCCAGATCTCTCTCCTACACTGCCAGCTCACTGCCTGTGCCCCAGATCTCTCTCCTACACTGCCAGCTCACTGCCTGTGCCCCAGATCTCTCTCCTACACTGCCAGCTCACTGCCTGTGCCCCAGATCTCTCTCCTACACTGCTACATCACTGCCGGCGCCCCAGCTCTCTCTCCTACACTGCTACATCACTGCCAGCTCACTCCCCATGCCCCAGCTCTCTCTCTTACACTTCCACAGCACTGTGGCCCGTAAATATGTTTCTTCTACTAACATTTTAATAAAACATGATCTTTAAGTTGAGAAGGGTCTCAGAAAAATGAATTATGCCTGTTTCAGATCGATCTGGAGACAATAAAGGATATGTACTCTGAGAAGTATGACGTATCTCTGAAGGATGCCTTGTGCTCCGAGTGTGGGGGTGATTTTAAAAGGCTCCTTTTGAGAATCCTGCACTAAACGGCCAGGGGTTCTTGCACCTCCCAATGACCCACCTGCTGCCAAGTCTTCAAGGGATTTTAAGCGACAGCCAGTGACTGAAGTCCACTGTTAACTACTGTGCATACACCTTTTGTAAATTGTTTTTCTGTGCATGTCTCACATAACACATTCCTAATTTTAAATTAACAATTTAACAATTGCTGACAACTTGAAGTGATGTTAATGTGAACGCTTTTTATGAATGTCTGTCCTCTGCCCTATAAGGAAGAGTTGCTAACTTTAACATGAATACTTAACAAATGAGGTTTTTTAGTAGAGTGTTGAATTCAAATAGATCATACTCGTTACAGCACCATCAGCTGGATAGTGGAATCAGTTATGACCAGGAAAGAGAGGACTTCTAAACTGAACTCCCACAGCTCAGAGCTAAATGCGACTCTCCTGTTGGTCCTTTCATTGGCTCTCTTCTGACTGACTACTATGACAAATATTTGAATTCTACTCTACTCTGACCTGTTTTATGAGTAAAAATTAAAAAGTAATTGCAAGACTGTAACATAAAATTGAGTACACAACAGATTTGTGAATAAACAAAAATGATCAGCTAGCTGTGCTTGACAGACCTGCAAGGTCTGTGAAGAATGACTCTGGGCAGTGCTGATGGTGTTGGGGTGTGGGAATCCCATCCTGTTTGTCAGATGTCAGTGAACCATGTGTACTGGATGTGCTGCTTTCCAGAACTGCGCAAAGTCAGAATAATCATTAAAGTTATTTTTGCAGGAGTGGCAGCACAAGGAAATTTTATATTTATTGAAGTAAATTCACTGGTAGAAGAACTACTGGAGCTATATTAGTAGTCAGACTTCCATTTTCTGTTTCTCATCAAGGAAACATTTTTTTAAATAGCTCCTAAGTGTGTCCATTGTAATCTGTTGCACTGCTTTTGGAATAGGTGAAAACTATTAGAAGTAATCTTCTACTTTGCAGAAGTGTGGGTAACTACTGTAATGGCAGGAAGTTGGTCTAGATTGTAAAGCACAGGCAGGGACCAAATACTAACCTCAGTCTCGCTACACATGAAACTTTCTACTTTCTGCTCTAAAGGCAGCATTAAACATTAGAACAAACAAGGTTTGTCTGTCTCTTTTATTAGTCTTTTTTGAAGCAAGTGCACAGTGGTCAGTGTCTAAAATTGTCAGTGAACTGACATTTGTCAGTTAAGGAACAAGTAAAGTTTTATTCCATGCTGAAAAGGGAAGAAAAATTCAACATTTCAGCTGTAGACCCTTCTTCAGGTGGTAGAGTGGTGGAATAAACCTTTATTTGTTCCTTTGCAGCCTTCCCATGCTGATGCAGCTACTTCCTTTAACTAGATTTGTCAGTTAAGCTGTCTTTAGCGCTCCTTTTTGGACAGTGGGTACACTCTTGTAATTTAAAAAAGCCATGTACGGACAGTATTAAGAAAACATTGGCAAAGAGCTCTAAGACTATACATAATTATATTCAGTTTTCATATATTGAACGTTTATGTGTACTTTGCAAAGTGTACTTTGTGTACTTTGCAGCACTGATTTTGACACAGTGTTAAAAAGCTTTGTTTTCCCTTAAGGGCTCCAAATAATTTAGCAGTCTTCGGAAAACCTGGTGGTTATATCAACACCAAATTGTTCTTTCTGTTTCTGACAGATACTGTACCATTTAATTCTGTCAATTGATTTAGATTGTACTATATAAAAGGAGTTTAATTCTGTTTGAACTTTTAAAAGAAAGATTTGAACTCCTCTGCAGTTCAGGAATTTTAAACAGTTTTTAAAAAGGCTGAGATTCTTCAAGAAATGAAACCTGTTTTCTCTCAGGGTTGGCTTGGTTTTTATATGGAATATTGTAAAAAAGATGTATAAGTAAGCTTCATTCATCTGTAATGTGATGCAAAGATCCCTTAATGTCAGCTACAATTAATTCAGCTCTTTAGTTTTTTATAGAAACTGTTCGCCAATACTGAACTGTGTGTTTGGAATTTCTCCCCTTCTTTATCAAAAAGGGAACAGCATAGTTTTACTCAGAAAAACTGCAGTTAGTCTTTCCAAAATAAACTAGTCAAGGCAAATGTGCTGTTTATGCCATTAGTATCATCCGGCTAAAATAAAAAAATATATTACAACCAGCACTCCCACAATGCATTCCCCATAGAGTACTGTCTGTACTAGTACAGCAGCTCATCCTATATCTGTGTGTAGGCAACTGGTTGCAATTAAAGCAGTAATCGATGCATTGCGAGTCCATGTGTGTGGTACCACGTACGTGGTGTGTTTCCATGTGTGCATGTATGCAGCGCGCGTCCGTGTGTGCATGTACGTAGTGTGCGTCCGTGTGTGGATGTATGCAGTGTGCGTCTGTGTGTGGACGTATGCAGCGTGCGTCTGTGTGGGGCCGCATGTTGTGCACGTCCGTGTGTGGATGTTGGTGAGTGTTATGTATTCAAAGGAACAAGTAACAGGTTTATTCCATGCTGAAAAAAAGAAGAAAGAAAATGTTTCGGCTGTGTAGCCTTCTTCAGGTGTGAAGAAGACAAGGCAGTCAGCAAAGGTAATGTAGCTGGAGAACAAAGGGTGGGAGAGAGGAGGAGTGAGAGGTGTGAGCAGGGGACAGACAGAGAGGCCAACCAAGAGGTGTGAAATGAAACCTCCAATGAATGGAGAAAATTTAGAAGAAAAGTAGTCTCTTGTTAAGAGAAGGGGGAAGGTGTGATCCTAGCTGCAGGATAATTTTGGTTTCTGTAGTCTTTCTGATGTATGAGTTCGTAAAACCGTCTTTGAGAACACAGATGGAGAGATTAGTGTGATCATGGCTGTCAGAGGTGAAATGGGAAACAATGGGCTTGGAGAGATCTTTAATCTTTACAGCCCTAACATGTTCTCTGAAGAGAACATGAGTGGTATGTATGCTGAGGTTCTCATTAGCTGTTAGGGGATTCATTTTGATTTGTAGCCTGAGACTATCCATTTGTTTTCCATCAGCAAACACTCTGTTAAAGAATGATTATGGCCTGATCTTATTCACAAATCTATTTTTTTTCAGCTCATAATGTATTTACATACAGTATTTACACTACAATTGAACCAGCTTGCATTTTTTCCAATTTTTCCATCTACTATAAAAGAAAGGCCACCTATGCACAGCCACAGTGGAATGCACTGGGACAGGCTTTTAGCATAGCCAAAAGACAGTCTAATGTCTCGACACACAACAAAGACATCTGGAGAGCTGAACAAACAGCAGGCAAACCGCTGATGTATGGTCTCAGTCAAGATCTAAAAACATTTCCAGACGGTTAGTAGTGAACAACAGGAATAAAGAAGAGGATAGCCCTTGTCAGGAGTTTCTTTTGACACTATTTCTGCTGTAACCACCAGTTCAACATCTTGTTTAAGATTAAGGACCATTACAGGTTTTACCAGGGTGGTTATTTGCTCAGAAGGTTACCTCTAGAATAAGACAGAACCAAAGAGAATTTGTGATTGAAACCAACTTCAATGAGTAGTTTTGGGCATTGCAGGTGTTGAAACAATGAGGAATCTTAAACTTCAAAAATGAAACAAAACTTATCCAATAACAATGCATTGTTAAAAGGTGACTTTCAGATAAACTGGAATATTTTAAATACAGCTAAGAAGACTGTAAGGAGGACTTGAGGTCAATCTCATTTGTTTTTACACACAGGAACCATAGTCAGTCCCTAATCTCTTATTTGTTCTGAAATCTATTGGTATTACAGCATTTATACTTCAATGCAAAACGGTTTGCAATGAAAATAAAATAAAACAGAAGTCAAATTCTTACAACAAACTTTATTTTTTTACATTGTTACAATCTAGGTATATTTTTAACTGCAACTGAAAGAACAAGACAGTATGTCCTGTTTTTTTTTTCCAGTTTAGCTACTTCTACTCTTAATCAAGACAGAATCAATCATACTTCAGGACTTTTAAATTTACAGGAACCCTATAATACATAAAATTACAGGCCTTTGTTGAATTTGTTACTCAAGACAACTGAATTTACTTTTGTATAACTATCGGCCTTAAACAATACAATCTACTGACATTTTTGTAACACTGTCAAATACATCCTGCATCCTGCACATAAGAACATTTATTTAAAAAATGTAAATAAAAACTAAAAGTAAACAAAACATCACATCAACCCATTTTTATGTACATTGCTCAATGCGTTTGTAGAAAATTCACATTGTAATGGAAAGACTGAATCGTAAACCACCAGCTCCTCCACAATGGAGCTCAGCTAGAAAATAACTATTTTCCAATAAAAAAAACTGGGAATGACACCAACCATACATTCCAGAAAAATTGTCCTACTACCCAGGATTACATTATGTGTTGTTGTCTCTCAAAGTATGAATATTTACAGCAGCCCAATAAAAGCTCCCAGTGAAATGTGAAGAATGTATGAACGACAAAGTGCGGCTGTAAGCTCCGATGTACTGTATATGAGCAGCTGGACAGCAGTTAGTGACACCACAGGGCCCAAGTGCAGCAAAACTTCTGTACGTCACTGAACCCTCTACGTTTCAGGGAGCCTGAAGTCAATTTTTCAACTCAGATATTTCTACAGAATTACTGTCTCTTCCCTCCTGGGTTCTGTAAATTGACAATTTTGCACCAAAAACACCATTAAAACATCATGAAAGAGCACTGTTCCCGTAGACACTTCACTTTATACCACAATGAAGAACAAATATAGTAAAGCCAAGTAGCAAATTACACTGTGTTCTACACTGCAGATTTACAGTAGTGTACAGTATGTTACAGTAAACAGTTATACTGTGATGCATTTCTTACTAGGACTAGTAGAGGTAAATCTTTTTTGCCTTTCATGCTGACCCAGGTTTACAAATGTGTATTATTAAAAGAAGTGCCTTAAAATTATTATGTTAAAAATGTATTTAAATGAATATTTCTTTACATACAAAACAATAAATACAACAATCAATACTCATTAAAAACTCGTTTTGGAAGACACCACATTTAAAGATGTTCCTTTTCTTAAAAAATACCAAGTTCAGGTAATACCAAACATTTTAAAGAGAGAACTTGCCCAAACAGAACTGAAAATACAGGTTTGTCATGCTCACAGTTTAAGTTTATTAAAAATTATGATACCAGTTAAACATCATATAGTACAAAATAAATGTGTACAGGCTTTTTACCATTAAAAAAGTATAAATATGCTGTACAGATTTCAGCACCATCTCCTTTCAGGAAACAATGCTTCCTTTGGAAATTGTGGAAAATTGACCTTTTCCACATCAGTAAAGCTTTATATTAGTTCACTGTTTAAAAGTACCAGTTTGCCACTTCCGCAGCCATCAGACCATGAATTAAGGCTTTGCTACGTTTAAAGAAGCCACATGACCTCTGTTATATCTATGAGGGACACTGATGATACAGTGAGCTCTTTATATAAACATCTGTTTCTATTCTTACCAATCACAGTGGTAAGGTGCACAGCTTCAAATAAGTATAAGGTGTATAAAAAATTGTAAGAAACAGTCACACTTCTCTAAATTTTAATTTAGATTTAGAGATTAAAGTGCCATTTTTGTATGCACAGCCACAGTGCCCTAACCAAAGGAGGGAATGCAACTTTCTTAATGGTTGACAATAGCGACAAATAAGGTACGGGATGTGCAAGGACACTATTTAAGCACCAGCACAGCTCTGTGGAAAACATCTCACTGGTGTTCAGTTGTTGCTGTTCTTCACGAGCTCAAACCTGCTGTAGACCTGCTTTGACTTCATCTTGTTGTACTGGTTGACAAGGTCTAGCTTGCTGTGCCCCAGCGTCATTCTCTTCTCATCGTGGCGGCTCAGCCGGGGCTGCCTCTCCACAGGCAGCGCCTCAACAGCAGGGGGCACAGGGGGGAACGGGGGCTTGCACTCTGGCTCCATCTGGGAAAGGTCTGGCCCGCCAAAGGCCATGCTGTGGGGGGGGGACTTTCTAAACGCAAAGGTTTCTCTGTCCTTTGCAGAAGAAATGAAGAAATCTGAGATTTTACTAAGAATAGGAGCAGTGATGGTCTTCTGCTTGCCTGTAGGGTGTGGATCATGTGGAGGGGGGCTCTTAGCTGCATTCTGAGGGATGTTTTGCTTTGGTTCGTACAGACCCAGACCATGAATCTTTGAAGACAACCCACCCATGTTTCTGCCCAGGTGATCAGGTCCAGCTTTGGACCACTCTATTCCAGGGGAATGGCCAGGCCCAGAGCGCTCTCCAGTGAGGCCAAGGCCATTGGCAGAGCCTCTCCTGCCCTGGCTGTTCTGATTGTACGGTACTAGGTTCTGACCTCTCCTCTCAGGACTCAAGTAGCCACTGTTGGGCTCTTTCTTCTCATGGTTGACTTTGTAAGTGGGGATGGGCATGCCTGGGGCTTTTTTGATACTATCGAAACTGTTGCCAGACAGACTGCTGGAGTTCTCAGAGGATACCCTCTCCAACTGCTGTGGTTTCTCCTGCCTGATGTTCATCTCCCAGTTAGCAGGCGATAACCCAGAACAATACCTGGGCAGGCCTTCCTCATCCGGATTATGGAAGCAGTCAATGATCTCGGAGTCAGCATAGAGGCAACGGAACTCATGGTCAAACAGCTCGGCTATCCTGCCAGAGAAGTGCAGTACCATGTTGCTGTGGACTTGTGCTGACAGCCATGTGAAGCTAAAACAGTGAGGAGCAGATGAGTGAAGTCAGTCCATTGTAGCAATATCAGGAGGACACAGACTAAATGAGGGCAGTCTACAGCAGGAAAGAAAAAGCAGAGGGACAAACAGTGCTAAAACAATTATGCCACAGGAACCATCTCCTTTACTTCCTTTGCTCCATGGTATACTGACTAGTTGCATTGTCTCTCTTGGTAATTTCGGTTCTGAAGTTGGATTAATTAACACTGGTGTTCCTCAGGAGTTGATATCGGACCCCCTGCTATTTTCATTATTTACATATTCCCCACTTAGTCAGCTATTAAGATCATATGGTCTAAATAATCATTTCAATGCTAATGATACTCAAATCTACGTCCGTACTAAACCCGATACTGAAGTGGCTTTCTCCGCTCTAATTGCATCTCTGACGTAGACACTGTATGCATGACTCACAATTTCCTTCATGTAAGCAGCAACAAGACTGAAATCATGCTTCTTGGCACCTCCCATCAACTAAGAAAACCCAATGCCATAATCCTATCTGTGATTGGAACTGTACTGGAATTTAAATTGAAAAACTTTGGGGTGATAGTGGATCCAGGCTTGACATTTGACATGTGCAATATATTGTAAAAACATCCTTCTTTTCAACTGTTGCTGAAAAGCTGGTCAACACTTTGATCTTCTCTTTAATTGATTTCTGTAATGGCCTACACGCTGCAGTATATAAATCAACATTGAACAGTTCAGTATGTCCAGAATTCAGCAGCCTGACCAGGTCTTGTATAAGCGATCACATTACTCCTATCCTGGAGTCTTTGCATTGGCCTCTTATCAGGTTTCCTGTCGACTTCACAATCCTCATGCTCACCTATAAGACTCTACACCAACTTGGCATCTCAGTATCTGTCTTACTTTCATCCTACTTCCCACCTCAGAAACTTTGATCATCCAATTCTGGTCTCCTGTCTGTCCCACAAGCCCATCTACATAGTATGGGAGATAGGGCTTTCCCCTGCCATGCCTATCCCCAAGGACATTAGAGAGTCACCTTTCCTTAACACGTTTCAAATCAAGATCCAACACCCAAATCAAGTTACTTATTATTTATTAAAGAAATTATTTGATAATATATACTATAGAATATTACAAGGTAAAATTATGTAATTTGAAAACAGAGCACAATACATACTAAACCTTTTAAATTACCCACAAAAAAGTCTTATTGATTTACTTATGGCCTGATATGTCAATAATACAAAAACCCGCCATGTCCAACACACAGAAACATTCTACACTAGCACAGCCACAGAACAATTATCAATAAAATTATGAGGATTCCTGCACAGCTTTGCAAAGTAATATATTATTGTTAATGAAAATCACATAATGCAGTCACTGAAAGTACATTAAATCTGTTCTGCAACACTGAGTGAACCTCCCATTTTGAAAAAGTAGTAACGTACTCACACAGCATGTAATTCCAGACACCTATAATTGTGTTGCATGTTTGATTTTGAATTTTTACTTTTCTTTTCACTGATCATCAGTAACATTCCAATTTTGTAATAAAGCATATTTGCAGATTTATAAAAAAAGGTGACAGTCTGAATACTTGCAATGTGTATAGTCTATAATGTCTACACCGACCAATTGTATCAAAAACCATGAAACGTTCTTAGGTTTGCTTCGGGCATGCTATGAATCCCAATTCTCAAATCAACTCAGTGAACATCTCTCAGGTGACCAAGACAACTTTGAATTTCATTTGAATACTGAACCTGAGTCACATCACCCATTTTCCTTACCTGCATGTACATTTTCCAGTTCTTGGTAGCTGAGGGAAAATCCCTTTAAAACACAGCACAAATCAAGCTCAAAAGTAGAACAATAACTTGTGTTTGCTATTTGCCAAAGCTGTAAACAACTGTATCCTACATTGAGTTACATTTGTAACAAGTCCATCTTGTAAAACAGATAGTTGCCTTGTCATTTTGTTCCTGTTTGATCAATCACTGTTCACAACCTTCACCACAAAGTGCATGGTTTCTGAGATAATAATTACAATTAAAAAAAAATACAATTCATTAAGTAGATTAAGCACATATGCTTTTATTACTAACCAGCATCATAAAAAGGCTCCCTATTAGGGAGAGTGAGTTACAGAATTACTGTATTACTATTCCAGAATAGATTATCTCTGGGACACTTTTCCTTGTAAAGAATTGGATGCATAGGGACATTTAAGGATCAGTCCCTCTACCCAGTTGCTCTCTTAATTTTTTCAAGTGCTGTAATGTCTGGGATAATACAGTACAGACTACCTCCTGCCTCTGAAAACCGCACCTACTACCACCTTCTCCTCTTCCATGTAGAATACTCTAATTAGTTCAAGGATGTTGCCCAAAACAGTTGAAGATATATACACTGTATGCCAATGCTCAACTTAGTCTCCATAAGTACTTAAGAAAATTAATTCCAAGTGTTTTATGGAGACAGGTTTACTCTCCATGTAAAGATAACTAACTTGAAATAATAATGTGAAATAGTAAGAATATTATTTTTTGTTCATCTTTCACTTTTGTTTCCAATGCTTTAATCATTCATACAACAGTATGAACCTTTACAGTTACTATGGTGTTAGCAACTTCCTTGTGCACTGTTCCACATTTTTTCTAGATTGATCATGAATGTCAAAACCAAACACTACAAACAGGTTTTGCTTGTATTTTGGGGTTACTGAAAATGCCTTTGGCAATTTCATTACAAATGACTACGTGGATCTCAAGTCAAGCAAAACATGTCTGTGTGACAGGCACATCTTTAACATGCATGTGCTATATCGCTTACATGCACAAACCAGCCTTCCCTGCCCAGAGCACACAAGAATGTTTGCACAATCACACTGAAGGTAAAACCACAGCCACTTCATTCATCCCCTCCCTGAAACAAAACAAAGTTCAGAAAAAAACAGCTGTCTTGCGTTCAGTTTGATTAAACTTGGAGTAGTACACTCTAGGGGCTAAAACAAAGACGCTGCTGAGTTACACTGCTCAGCCCTTGAAGCTTTGAAGGCCAGTGCCTGGAAACTGCATTTGTTCTGAAGCTCAGCTCAGCCCCTACGTAACCCAGTCACATACTGTACTGTAAATACTGCAAAATCATCTTACTGTACATAAAAGCAATTCCAAAGAGGAGCAACACACACAGTGTGGTGTAAAATGAATACTGACTATGGAGAAAAACTCAACTAAGGAGAGATAACATGGTTGGTGCTAGATATTTCTTTAAAGCTACAAATAACAATAATAATAATAATAATAATAGTTTTAACATGACTTGAAAGGTAAGAAATCAGTATTTTTTGAAGTTTTAATCTTAAAACTATGTTGCCTTTTAAGATCATGCAATCACTGAATTAGACATATTAATATTAATTAGCCCTTTTCACTTTTATCTTGAAAGATGTTCCTTCTATGACACATTTATTAATCTTTATCACCGGTCAAAGTTAGCTATATCATTCTGATGACCCCTATTAAGGAAAAGCAGAAGTTCTTGGCTGTTATGATTGACTCTATAAGCATCTCTTTGGATCAGGAATGTCAAATTCAATTCCTGGAGGGCCTGGTGTCATCTGCTTTTTGTTTCAGCAGAATTCTTAGATACATAGTTGATCTAATTATTTACTTCATAACTGAAATACATTTAACCCAGCTCATAATTGTTTTAAACTAAACTTATTTTAATTAAGTGACATTGTTTTGAGTTATTAACTGTAAAAGACCTTAAAATATAGAAAAATCTTGTAATAAATTTAAGAAGTAATTAGATCAATTGTTTAATTGACAACTCAGATTGGGCCAAAGTTTAAAAACTCCAAGCCCTCCGTGAACCAAGTTAGATATCCTTTATTTAAATAGCTCTGCCCCTCAGTGTTGGAGCATAGTAGACAAAACTATATTTTCACATATTCAAAAAAGATCACCTTAAAGGACTGGAAAAAAAGATAAAAAACACAGAAAATACAAATAATGATTGTAAAAGAGGAAAAAGTGGAAGTTAAAAGATACTGAAAGTAATACGTGTGTAAACAATATATAACAAAACCCACACGTATTATGGGAGCAACAATAGAAATGCTAGGTTATTAAAGTATTTTTTACTCTTTAAAAATAACAACAGGGAGATCCTTTGTCATGGGGATAAATCATTCCACATTAGGATCTTTAAAGGCAGTGCTCTTCAGTTAGCAGACTTGTATTGTATGGCCTGTCATAAGGCTTACATGCTAAAATATGGTTTTAAAATCAGTCCTGAACTGATGTAAACCAGTGTAAGTATGACAGCACAGGAAAAATAAGTTCATATTTCTTGTTAAGACTTTGGAAATACCAAGAAAAGTTCATTACAAAATTTAAGCTTGATTCTACAAATGTACTCTAGTAGTCTTTTAGATTCTGACACACAAAAATGTCTGAATTTGCCAATTTCTCACAGACGGAAAAGTGACATTCCTGATAAGTTGCTCAAAGGAAAGATCTTGATAAAAAAAATAACAAAGTAACTGAAACCAACAGGGATTATCTGTCAGAAAACAAGCATAAGACGTTCATTTTAACAGTCTTATAAGGTATGTCTCTTACCTGTAAGAACCAGCAATCACTTCTTCGCAATCTATAATTAAAAACTTCTCCTGGACCTGCCCAGTGAACTTCTTCCCAGACTTAGTGCAGTATGTATCTCCGCACACACTACGGATTCTCATGTTCTGAAAAATTGAGAAAATCCCATTTACAAAAAATATGCTCATCATATAATCATCATGAATATCTCACAGTTTTTTTAACCAGTCAATTGCTAACTTGAAACGTATGACATCTTTCAAATCAGTTTGATGTTTTATCTCCTCAAATAGTCACTTAATTACAAATATGACCATAGGAAAAATACAAACAATGTTTCAGACATGTGAGAATGTGTAACCATTATTGTTTTTCAGAATTCATATCAATATGCCAGACCTCATAGATGATAACAATCTATATATATGCACAGCATAGTTGACCAGGAGTGAGAAGTATAGCCTGAATACTTTTTTGTGGTTTAATATTTATCTGGAGTTCCCAACTCTTTCTGGGAGAATTATGTAGTTGTATCATAATGGAAAATAACTATTACTTTTTATTAAAAATTGTAAAAGGGATCTTATCTTTCAAAATGTAGCCAATGTTTAACTACACTAGTTTCTTTAGTACTTTTAAGTGCCTCACTTGCAGCAGTGATGTCACATGAGAATTTTCTATATTGTGTTCTGTATGGAGTTTAGTATTAAGTGTCAAAAATGATTGTTGTTTAAATCATTAAAAAGTATAAATCCTAAACCACATTATAAAGGATGACAAATGAATGTCACCAGACCTTGCTTTAAATGAGATGGCACCTGGATAAAAACAGGAATTTGCAAAATAATTAGGTGAACAAATATTTTACAGGGACATGTAAAGAACTACTTGAATGACAGTTGTCTTATTTTCCTCTTTGCTCATGGAATGAATTTTCCATGCTTTAGTTCGGTCGCATGCTTACACCGAGGTGTGTGTTGCGGACGTCCAGAGCCTGGCACATATTAATGAAATACTGCAGGTTCCTCTCGTCCAGCAGAATGTACACTGGAACCTTGCGCTTGTTGGAGGCTTCCATTAAGTCACAGAACAAGTCGACGTCGGTGAAGAGATCCATCACTATTGCAATCACCTGGAACAGAAATAAAGATGCATACATACTGTATGTTTCCCTAGTCTTCACAAGGAGAGGCAGAAAAATTAATTATACCACCCACTGAAATTTTGGACAGGAATGCATTAGACACTGTATATTAAATAAATATTAACTCAAAGCACATTACAACAAACACACCCCACATAAAAGTTTGTTGGTTCTCTGTCTCACATCTATTGTTTAAATGCTGAGTCACTTTATACCAGTACAGACATCTTTTTCATGTCAGTGGCTACTGCCCAAGTCAATCCACCAGACTCCACCAGAACTCAAAAAGAAACATTTGGTTCAGAAGGTGTAGAAATCTGACCCTGAACACTGCTAAATGTAATCTTAAAAATTAGATTGAGTCCTACTGAGTCTGGGGGAAACAAAATCTGTGAAGGATATTTTACATTATATTAATACAAGAACTACAGTTTGCAGTGTTCATAAACTTGTTTTTGAAAAGCATTATTTAGACATTTCATTTGAAATTTTGAAATGATTTCAGTGCCTGGTGAACATCGAAAAAAAACTGTACAGCATTTCAACAAGTGCTGACATTTCATTCATAGCAAAACACAGACGTTTGTATTAAAAAGGTTTCATTTGTTATTTGCAAAAAAAAACAAAAGATAACTATAAAAACGGTAAAGTATAGAGGACTGCAATTATGTATCACATGAGGTAAAACACGTGTTTTTTCCTGACACGAGGCGTGTCAGCGTGTGGGGATCCCACGACCCCACGAGTGGAACCGCGATCTCCGGAGCATCTGATCCTCAGAATCGATCCACAGAGAACACGACTCGGACGCCCTTTCGCGTCAGCTATCGAGCTTGTTATACCGGCAAGGACAGATGCCATTTGTCATTTTTTCACTTGCGGCCTATCAAATTTGTTGAAGTTACATTATAGTTCATAGATACACAGAAAATATACAAGATTAAAAAATACATATATTCCTAAAAATTAGTGGTTAAGAAACTGTTGCGTCTACTTTAAAATCAATGTTTTCAAATACATATCATGAAACTCTTCTGCCTGTTGAGTACGTTTATATTCCTACCTGTTCGGGGTTCGATTAAATCTGGATATGTACAATAGCTGGGCATAGATCAAGACCTGTTCCTTCCTTACCGTTTTGGCTTTGCTAATAAGGGAACGAATATGATCTTTCAAGTTGTGCGATCTGTCTCTCTGGAAGTAGACCTGGGTCTCTGAAGGGCCGTGGCGGGTCTGCATTTCGGGCCAGCCCAGTTCCAGGGCAGGAGGCTCTTCATCGGACATCATGGGGAAATAGGTCCCGGAGGTGAGCATTGACACCGCGTCTCCTTCCAGGAGGGAGTCCCTGTCGGAGCCATTGGCGTTGCTGTTGTCTGAGCTGATGTTCTTGGCTGCGGTCTCCGTGATATACTTGATCTCCAGCGGCGACAGGAAAGACACTTCTCTCTCCTCCGACAGAACTCGCCTGTACTCCGTCTCTCCGGACTCTAGCAGGGCGTCTGTGGCCAGCCTGGCGGCTTCATTGTGGCTGAACTCCAGAGGGGAGCCCTGTCGCCACGGGTTTTTCACGTCTTCCACCCGAGACGACAGCTTTCCCAAGGGCTTCCGTCCTGTGTTGGAGGAGCTCGGCCGCAGAGCCTCTGAGTTCATCATCTTGTCTGTGAAAAGAGTGGCTTCGTGAGCTTGGAGGTGCCTAAATCTTTTTGCAAACTAGCTATAGTCCGACCAATGTATCGATGAAAATAAAACAGAATTATTGAATAGAACAGCACACCTACTTACCGAAAGTGATCCAGCCGTTGCGACCTCCAGTCCTCGCAATGACAGCTTTCCCGAGGGGATGGTATGTTGTTCGCGTCTGATGGGAGGGACACGCCTCTTTCACCTGGATCCACCTGTCAGGACCGTGAACGCGCAGTGACTCCGCCCTCAGTCGCACACGGGAGCCCGCGGGAGCGCGCTCAGAGGTGCTGGCATAGAGCCCGGCATAGATCCGTCAACAGGTGATTCCAGAGAAATTCATGAGAAAGTGGACATTCTTTCTCACTGCTGTTTAATTGTTACAGTATATCTGCTTTCCTAGCAAAGCGAAGCAAGATGTTTAGAAACAAACAAACTGGATTTGTATAATAGTCATGTGAGTATGATTAACTATTGCTTTGTTACTGGGAACCGTCCTATTTCCATAGTGTCACGTTCTTCTTGTGCCCTGGAGTGCTATTTGTGGTACAGGAAATATGACTAGCACTTGCAAAGTATATTGTAAAAAATGCCGTATTAAAAAATACTTGAATTGCAGCTTTTCATAATGCAGAAAAATGAAGAGAAATGTTACAATTTATATGCCGGTATTTCTTTCAGTAAATGATGAAATTTTACACAGAGAAGTATTTACATACAGTATATCATTATGAATAACCCATTTAAGGGTAGAAAGCGCACTGTCTGACATGAGAGGTGACGAGTATAACTCCCGCTTTCCCTCTTATTTGCATCCCCCCCGGGACCGGCAGCGGCCACAGAGCACCGAGTCTCCTCCGCCTCAGCTCGGAAGAAGCTGCGTGTCTCCGCACAGGCCTCACACCTAGTGCATTCACGTTTCCTGCTCCACGCCCCTGAACATTCACCTCCAGGAGGGACCAGCAAGTATTACTTATCATTCAGGTAACCAGCATAAGTATTACAATACACTGGAGCTAAGGCTTATTGGGGAAAGACATCTTTAATCCCCGAGACCCCGAGAAATGAGCTCAGATTTCAAGTTTAAGTTTAATATTTTACCATATCACTAATTCGTGTATTTTTTAGTCAATTTACATTTTGCAAACTTTTCATAAATTTGCTTACAGTGACTTTATTTCTTAGATTAAGGAATTGTTGTTTATTTGACAACAGTGTCCCCTCAAACTGCAAACAAAGCATGTTCAATGAATGTTCTTGAACTATGGACTAATAATCCTCCAAAGTTTATGTTTATGTCATTTGTATCATTAAAAATGGCAATAGGGAAGTAAAAAAGAGCCACAAGAAGGAGGTTAAAGATTAAAAAGAACAAATGGGTTTACAAGCATCCAGGGAGCAACATTAGCATTAACTCCCTTAGAAGGTTAAACTGTCCTTAAAAATAATTCGTAAGTTATATATTTCACAACCAAACTGTTCTTTGTTAACGGGCTTCAAAGGCTTCTCAGTTCTGCTGATTGTTCAGAACAGGGCTGATTTTGCATATTATCAAATAAAGAAGCAGAGATCACTTTTGCGGGAATAATTTACCCTGTGTGCTGGAAAGGTCATAAGAAGTGTAAACGAGAAAAATAGATTTTTTATTACTGTCTTGCTGATGTACTGGATTCTTGTGTAGACTCTGGAAAAAACAAGTCCAAATGGCAGAACTTGCCTAGTGGAATGTTTTGAACAGTGAGCAATTGACTTTAATCCCTTGTTTAGGTTTTCTTGCAATCTTAGCATTATAATATTCACAATTACATTCCCATTTCCTTGTACAGTGGTTAGTTTAAATTGGGATGAAAGAAATTTCTTGCAATCGATTCAGTTGGTGAATGATGGTGAGAGAGGTCAGAGGATTCGAGTGGGAGTCAGGAAGTCAGACCCTTCAGCCACCCTGTGAGAGTCTGACTCCAGACAATGGCAGGCAACCAGACAGAAAAAAAAACAAATAAACAGAAGGACACACCTGTAAGAAACTATTCTTAAGCACAGAGACACCAGAAATTTACAATAAACCACTAAGTATGTGTTGGGTAGTATCGATTCAGCTAGTCCCTGCTATGTTTGCACATGGTTATTCGCTCTCGCTTGAGTCGAGAGACTGAAGTCTTTTGAGCATAAGAGTCTCTCAGCCACAAAACCTTCACCTCCCCAGGCCTGCGCCTTGCTTAATCTGGTTCATGTGTGAACCTTTGAACTGGGACTCCTGTCAGTTCTGAACTTTGTCAATTACATCTATTGCTACATTAAGTGTTCCAGTATTGCACCTGATTTTGTAGTAGCAGACTCAAATTTATTACAGATAATAATAATAAAATTCTATATTATTGCACCATTTATGGCTCCTGACTTGCACACAATTTCTTTAACAGACAGACACAAGCAAAATAGTGTAATGCAAGGTTTCTTCTTAAGTATGTTAAATTTCAATCTATAAACAACAAGGAGATGGAATATTGAATACTGTCCCATCAGGTTTAACAACTATCTCTTGCTGGTATTTATTTAATTTAATAATAATTTTGCATTTAGAAGGATCCTTCATTTAGAAGAACTTTTCTCGAAGGATACAAAACTTTGTTGTAGAGGTCCAGACAAGTTTTGAAAAGATTTCTGTTGATTGATGCACAAATGAAATTATAATGTCAAATATTATTATTATGTTTCTTATGTCTAATGGATTTATTCAAATTTTTTAATCAGATATCAAACTCAATCACAAAATCCATGAACAAAAATAATGTGTGAAATTTGAAACATTTTGTCCATATGAAACCATAACTTAAGTTAATGTTGGATAAGACCTGCTGCTGTATTTCTGCCAGTGTTTACACACGGACCTGATCAGTCTATGCAAAAACTGATATGTGATGATCATTCCCCACGTTCCAGCTGGCGAGAGGGGGCTGGTAGTAGTTGTCTCTTATTAATGTCAACTTGGCGAGTTATTAATGTCATTTGGCATGTTATACTGGAGATGTTGTATTAGACTCAGCTCAGAAGAGAAAGCTGGCCACGGCAAGACCACAATGTTGTGTTCTTGAAGTTGTGTCATTGTAGTCCTGCATCGTATGATCCTGCACTGCCGTGCTAGAAAATGGACTCTTGTGGATTAGCATGCAGGAATGAAAAGGGCTAAATCAAATGTGACTGGACAGTAGGGCTGCTCTCAATCTATACCAAAGGTGTTCTAGTGTTAAAGGGGATGCCCCTCCACATCAGCTCATGACATGAAGCAACATCTCATCAGTTTGCTTGAATAAAGCAAGAGATCACATTATCTCTACATACATTATCTTCTGTCAAAGCACAACAGTATCCATGTATAAAACACTCCACCTCTTTTTTTCTGCCACTGCTCCAGATGTTCTCTGGCTCACAGAAGATGATCATATTGTCTTTTAATTGTCAACATGTTGCTCTCCAAAGGCCTCCAAGGAGATCAGTTTCATATAGACTGTGAGCTGTGATTGTTCTATTGATGGACAGGTTATTGCTTTCAGGAATTTCTCATGCTGTAGTAACTGCTGTCAGAAAACAATTGCATGGGTGGATAAGATAGACAAGACAGTTCTAGGCCAATGTGGTGACCCTGTTCTTCAAAGACCCAGTTTCATGGTTTCTTTGGACTTTGGCTGTTGACCATTGAGACAGACATTTCATTTGCTGGGCAATGTTTCTCATGATGAAACTAACTTAAATTATGGTAATAACAACCAGACAATCTGCATTAGTCAAGTTGGATATGGGCACATCTTCTGTTGTTCTTACTCCATTTGTCTTTTTGATTGGATGTTTATACAAAGTCTTATTGAACTAATGTTGGTAATTTTAACTCAATTATCTAGCAAAGTACCTGGCAGTTTAATGAAATCACTTTACTTGGGCTCAGAGTATTTTATCCCAATGAGTGATACTACACAAGCAATGAAACAATCTGATCTCTGATCTCTATTTATGTATCTGAACTCTATTTAAATAACATTATGCATGACCCCAACAATCTATTGATTTGAAATGGAGGATGCAGCACTTTCATTGTTCAAATTCCTTCAATGCACATGGCAGAAGGAATGCTTGATGGATGTGCAAAAAGCACAGCTCAAACTTTATGAAGCACACGTCCTGACAAGCAGGGCAAAATCTCATTCACACTGGGTTAGTGCCCGAGGGAGTTGCTATAAACTTCAATTCACAATCTTTATATGCAAAGAAAAACCAAGCCTGAAAGAATTACCCATCCATCCATTTTCTTCAAATGCAAGGTCTTGGGGGTGCAGGAGCTATTGGAAGGGCAGACAAACAGACGTGCACACACTGACCTCTAGTGCCAATTTACCCAGAATCACATTAACCTACCACTATGTTTTTGAACTGTGGAAGGAAACCAGACCACCCAGAGGAATCCCACATGAATCTGGGAAGAACGTACAAACTCCATGCAGATAGCACCACAAGTCCAGAATTCAAACAATGCTAACCACTGCATCCCAGTGCCGCCCTTTTTAGAATTAGGGAAATGTTCAGTTATTGCACACACCACACTATGGGAGGACCTGAAATAAGTATTCAAAATTGTGAAACACATTAATAAACTCAACCCAATATATCCTCTGACTGAACAGTGAAACACAAAATTCAAGAACAGGAGTCACTTCTTTGCCCAAAGGTTGTGGGAGTGTTGAACAAGCTAACCAGCCATGTGGTCAAAGATAATACTCTGGTTTCTTTCAAGAAACGGCTGGATCAGATCCTTGGTTCAGTTAACTACTAACTACAGACGGGCTGGATGATCTCCTAACATTTGTAACTTTTCTTATGTTCTCAGGAATACCAGTTATGTTGCAACATGGGTGGAAAAAAAGTTGTATTTTTCCCTTGGCTCAGACTAATGGATGTTGTCTAAATATGTGATATGAGGCGTTCACATATGTCATGAACCAAACGTATTTACTTCAAGTGGTCAACAGTTTCTGTGCAAATTTATTTTTAGAGCAGACTGGAATGTGGTTGGAAAAATGAAACATTGCCATTTAGTTCTGTTTTTAGTTTCGCTCTTTAGAACAATGGTAATACTGGTTTCCCCTATTAGTCAGCTACTCGAGTTTGTTATTGTCTTATTAGCTGTCATGCTCAACATGTGACATGTGAGGCTGACTGACTCAGACATCTTAATCTCTTTACTGCTGATTGCAAAAGCAGGTACCTTTCAGTTTAGTCCTTACAGGAATATCTGCCTATTGACTGTCAGTCAGGAACAAGGAACTGTCACTCATTAACTTAGTGCTTTCATGCTACAGTATGATGTTATATACTGTGTGTATATATATATATCTGTTGTATGAAATATAACTGTACTATGTATTACACCATTAATCAAATGCCTTTCTATAGTTGTCAGCCAAGTAACAGATACCATTTAATGAGTTGCTATAAAGAAATATAGTAGCAATATAGGAGGATATTAATATTCAGAGCTATGAAGTGAAATAATTGTTATTGCTTGTTGCCACAGTATTATCCTTCTACCTGTGATTATAAAATTAGGATAAAGTAATCCCTTCTGCATCAATTATGAATAAATAAAAATGAATATACTGTACATTTTACTGCAAATGTACCTAGATATCAAATAAATCATGCCAAGTCTACAGTATGAAGCGTTATCTACTGTTAAAATGAAAATATTCCAAAATATCAGGTTCTTGTGTTAAAGGAGAGTCTTCCACACACATTGTCTTCTGTCAGAGCAAAATAAAATGCATCAGTGCCTACAACTGTGTTTTCCACTTTATGTACTACTTTCTCTGCAACTTAGTCATATGTTCTTTAACCCACAGAAACGGATGATTTCATCTGTCAGCTGTCAAAATGTTAATCGTGAATGTGCACTAAGCATGCAGGTAATTTTCATGCAGAGAGCAAAACTGCTGATTATTCCTTCCTGGAATCTCTCATGTTGTAGCTGCTGCAGCCTGAAAACAGGTACGCAGTGATATCAGCTGGGCATGACAGTGGTGTGGGACAGTGGGACAAAGTGGTGACCCTCTGCCTTCCAGAATGTGGCTTTTTCCTCATAGAGCTTGTTTCCTGGTTTCATGCTCTGGCTAACGTTTTTCACCGACAGCCTAACATTAACTATCCCAATAGCAGCTCAGCAATCAGGAACAAACATAGTCATAGTCATAGTCTTCATGTTGTATTTTCTTTGTGTAGCAGTATACTGTATACCTAGTTTTAAATTTAACATAGGTACAGTACAAGGTAAGCTCAAACATGTCTGCACAGAATTAGAAAGAATATGACAAGTTTTCTCACCTTCTGTTACAAAGGCATCTTTTGCAAGGCACCTTAATCTTTTTCAAGCTTTTCTAAAAACATTCTTTGTGCATTGCAGGTAAATCAGGAATTGTGTGGGCTCATTTCAAAACAGGCATAAAACTTTGAAAAACAAAATGCATGCATACATACTGTAAGTATATGCTATTTGTTAAGTGTAAATATAGTATTATACAGTATAAAATACACTCTAATAGGTGAATTGTCATTGTACATTGTCTTATGATATTGCTACAAGAATATTTTAAGGTCTAAACATTTCCAGTCTGTTCATATGGTATTTGTATCAAGCTGCTTTCCTTAAAGAATTAAATGTAATTCAAGTAACACACCCTAGCTAGCATTATCTTGTTAAATAAGCCTTTGACAATTATGCTCCAGAGCATGTGATTTATAGCAGAGGGAGAATGGCTGTCACTGGCAGAAAAAAACATTGAACCACAACTTACCATTGCACTGGTCACAGCCCTGAAACCAGCCAGATCATCTTTCTTCTTGCCATCTGTTTCCTGAAAACTCATGTCTGAGATTAATTGTGGCCTCATGGACAACCAACACACCTCCTCCTTTCCAAACATAGCTCACACATGAGCAGTCAAATCCCCAGAATATTTCACTGCCAAATGTAGCAGGACACACACCATCTTCCTTGTTTCCTAAAATATTTTACAGGCTTTGTAGAGACAAAAAAAGAAAACTATAACTAAACAAAGGCAATACATAGCTCTGATGTGACACAGAAAATATGTCACCAGCATCAATCACTGATGGGTAATCATGTTAATTATCAGAACCTAATTTTGACACTTCACATGTATGTACTACTCCAATGTGTTTAATAACCAAACAGTGTTATCCACTCTCTTCAAAGTGGATTGAGAGGAAAATAGTGCAAAAAAGCTCACTGAGAAATGTGATAAAATGAAATGAGTAAGAAGTTCTCTAAGGACTGCAGTGAAATCATTTCAGTTACCTAATTATGCAAGTTTCATTTTCATCTTTTACAATGCAGGGAACCAAGTAGCAAATTGATTAACTAGTATATTAACAAGCAAAATAAAGTTTAAGAATTGCACAGTTGCACTATGTACCATGTCAACAGAAAGGTGAGGCCCGTTTGGCAGAGACTTTTTTCTTTAGGGGGGGGCACAGCTTGCAGCTACAGGACAGCCAGGGGAACAGCACACAAGCTGAGAATGAAGCCCCCCTGACCATGACCCGTTCAGCCTGACAGCACACAGCTCAGCCAGCCCATGGGCCCAGGCGGTACCTCAGAACCAGGTCAGTATGGATTGGCCAGTCTTTTACCAGACTAAATCCCCACTGTTTTAATCTTCTAATGAAAATTACACCATGTTTTCTGTGTAATTAGGGCAGGACTTAATTTTACCACCAGAGAAAAAAGGCTGCTGACCTAGATAACGGCTGTGTGTCACTTTCAGAACACAAAGAAAAAGTTGTGACTCTCCTGTTTTTTTGCTGGTGCTTTTTATAGAGTCAGACAAAGTCAAAAACAGCATTCTATGGAATCACATCGCCCAAGATGAATTATCACAGTAATTTTCAGCTTCTGGGTGTGTTGAGGATACACCTCCCCAAACTGTCTTTTGAGTCATATTTCTTGAGGACATTTGTAAAAATACATCCTGCTGACAAAACCAGTGACAGCCTCTGGCTGTAGGTACAGTAAAGGGAAAAATCAAGTCATGACACAGTGATCTGCCGCTATCCCTTTCTGAATATGCTCTTATCAACAGGATGCCCTCTGCTGTGCACTTGGTCACACTGCATCCCTAGAACCCTCAATCATTTGCTCCAGCAGAGGACAGTTCAGCTCTGTTCTGCACACTTTTCTAAAAAAGCAATATTTTGCACAGGTGCCAAATAGAGTTGCTTTTATTAACATAGTTAGTTAGTCCTCTTAGGCAGGAAAACCAACCTGAAAATCTTCCACTTTCAACACTCCATTTGTACCTGTCCACACGAGGAACAACTGCAGGGCTAAACGTCCCCAGGGTAAATTTCAGGTGATGTGCCGGGTAATATTACAAAATCCTACAATCTTTAAATTGTACCAATACTTAATGCACTTTAATGCAACGTTTTTCACTTTCCACCATTTGCAACTTTATTAACCTTACAGGGAACTACACATTTAAGTTTATGTACCTTAACTAAGTCTCAGCATCTTGTGATTATGATAGAGACACACTGGAAACACAGGTGAATGAGTGATGGTGCACTATATGAAAAAAAATATTCTTTAGATCACCAAGCACACAAACAGATCCATGCAGAAAACCTTAACATGTAAAACAACAAACTGCTGATTAACTGATAAGTAAACCATAAGTTTCAAGCACTTGGCAATGTGCTTAAAGCCACTCCATGACATTTCAATACAGCGTGTAAGCTTTTGTGAACAAACTTATGCAATTTCTTGGACACCTGCACTTCCCATAATCTACTGACTGACTGTCCTACCAGGAAAAGCAAGGGGTCTCTGGAACCACGCAAATTAGAAAGTGAATGTGATACCCTCTAGCACAACCAGAACAAAATGAATCAATCTTGACCTTATTACAAACTTTAGAATTAGGCTTGTGCTCTTCCAACAATAAACTGCAGCTGCTGCCACAGACAACAAACGTAGGTGACATATCGGTTTCTGATTCATTGGGATTCTGCAGCAATTCATCTGTCACTTGTCAAGCAAAAAACAGATTTTTTTTACAATACAAATTGTTCAATAAGAAAAATATATTATTTTTTTGCAATTTACAGTATCTTTGGTATCTAAATGATGCTATATAATTCAAAATTATAATCTTTTTTTCCCCCGAGCATGTGGAGAAGAATGTTTTATAGGTTACTCCATATTATGTCATGAAAATACATATCACAGGCTTCTTCGACACACCCAAAGAAGGTTCCACAGCCAAAACAATGTGTTTCTTTTCTTCTCTTTTCAGCATGGAATAAACCTTTACTTTTACTCCTATATCATAGGTTACATAACCAAAATATGCATCATAAATATATCATATGTTATTGCCAGCTCTTGGGATGTAATATTTTAAGAGTTGTCATCTGCACAAGACATGGGGGGAATATTTACTACAGTAGGGACATCCACTTCCACTTTACCCAGGGCAGACCATATGCAATGAGCCCTATCCTCTAGTGTTCGGCCATTTCAGAGTATTGGCTGCTTTTAGGCCAAAACATATCTCCCAGGCCACAGGTGGCAGTGGGGAGGTGGGACATAGAAACAAAAAATGAAAAATCAGCTTAATGTCCAGTGGTGGACAAAATATAATATCAAAAAGTATCAGTGTTTCAAGGCTCAGAGCAGGCAGCACTTATCTGTGCTCTTCAGCTGACTGGCGGGGGGTCATGGCTGCAGTGAGTTGTAACCCAGTACCAGTCTCTATCCTGGAGACCTGAGCATCACATACAGCTGGACAGCTCAACAAAGACAAGGAGAGGGAAGGTGAAAACAACACAGGCTTCAGGCTTCATAGTTCATTCACGCATCACAGAGCAGAACAGTGTAATGAAACAATTCTCCAGAACTGCTTGGCAAGGCACAAAGAATTCCTCACAAGACTTGTGTAGTGATTCCTTTCAGTAAATTAATCATTACAGTTAGACAAAATCTTTTATTTCAAAAAAGCCTGCTTCCATAGAAAAGAAAGCTCTTCCATCTTGAAAGGCCTTAAATTTTCCCAGAAAAACACTGAATGCATAAAGTGCTGTGACAACCTTGCAGCAGAAGGTAAATACGAAGGTTTATACTTATAACTTTCTAATGTTACAACTGTAAAATCACATCCCTTCAGCAAAAATGATTGTGCAACATCTCACAAATATATCCACTGACTGTCCATACCTTTAGAGTTCTCTCAAACTGCTCTCCCTGCTTTTTTGGGAAAGGGGAGATCAGGGGTTAAGTGGGTGTCAGAGAGGGAGTCTGTCTAGTGTATATCCTATCAACAGAGACCTGCACTGTCCTCAGAGTGACAACAAGGGGGAAACAAGTGTTAGAGACCAGCATCATTGTAAGTGGGGCTGGTGGGCTTCAGGATGCTCTGTGCATTCTCTTCTACTAGGGGGCGCCATTTGACCTCCCCAGTCAGCAACAGGTCCTCACCATCCAGTGAATCAATGTACTGCATCTAAAAACAACAGAAATCACAGCAAAATTGTCACTCAAGAACAGAGAACAGTGGAGTTTAAATACAGTGCAGTGCTGTCTTGTATGTTCAACAGGCTTACAGAGGAAGCTTTGAAGCATTGTAAATAAAATTCACAGTTTCTTAATATAATCTTTAAGAATACATTCCAAATGCCAAAGTATCCAGAGGCTACTGCAAGGGGAAATCCTATAGCAAGAGCAACGTGTACAGTTACCCCTACAACAAATTGTAATAAATAATACAAAATGTAGATTTACACAGCTCAAGCTCTTGCTATTGACAGCACTCTACCGTGGAAGCTAAGCTGGAACTGGTCAGCACTGGGATGAGACACCCTTAAGGAAAATCATGTCGATGCTGTAAGTTTTGTTAGTACTTTCTAACCCTTGTACAGCATGTTGACCACAGATACTGTGGCATCTTTTGAACAAAACATTAAACTGAGGTCCTTACTACTTGGTCATTAAAGTTCTAACAGCCCAGTCCTGGCTAAACTGCACTTTGGGTTTTGACAATCTGACCCTCCTAACGTTCCCCCTTTATTCAGTTAGTGAAGGGATTTCTTAGTCCTCTGCCTGAACTGCTGTAAATAGGATTGCTGGTGCAGAATTACTGTACATCAACCAGGGGAGAGCTGTTCTTCAGAGATTGATAAAGTGCACCTTGTCCTGTATGTCAAAAACGTTAGAGTAGCTCAGGATTCAAAGCTCTATATAAATGCAAGGAAATAAAATAGTAATAAACAGTTACATGCTAGTATGAGTTAAGTTTAACAAGCCTCTAGGAGTCACTACTTTCCTGCTGAATCACCAGTCAGGGACAATGTCTAGGTTATATCATTCTCCTCCTGGAATTAAGTTGACCAAAAAGATTTGGTCAGATCTATAGGAGTCCTTAAGTTTTAATTAAAGAAGCTGCATTAGCTCATGGAAGGAGTGTTTGATGAACGTAATTAGTGTGAGTAATGATGCAGGCTGGTGCCAGCATACAGGCCTCTGTACGTGATTTCATTACTATGGCCAGGGCTGTGATTTCCTCTCCTGTAGTCTGTCATCAGGCACTGCTATATTTTATGTGGTGCACCTGCAGTGAAACCACTCAGAATGTGATTAAATGCTTGTTTTGCACTCAGTTTTCTTCCTCTGTCTTTTTTTAATTAAGCCTCTTGAAAATGCTGGAAAAGGCATTTTCTCCTCTGCTTTCACAAAGCCTGCAATCCATGCACATCTCATAAATTATAACAGCCACTTGTAATGTGAGCCCAGATGGCTGGTACCTGTGAAGCCCTGAGCTTCAGGACTGAGAGGCAGAACAAAAAGCCCAGACTGGCAGCTCTGCTCCTGCATCTTTCACTGCACTACCCTGCTCAGCTTTTCACCCTTCAGAGTACAAACAACCACTGCCCACAGCCATTTTTAATAAAATATTGATGCATTTTTAGCATAAAAGAAGAAAAAAAAGAAGAATCTTGAGGGTTGAGGGACACAAGAGTGACAGTAAAAAGCATCCAATTTTCCTCCTCCTTAATGAGCCAATTACAAACCACCCTCTTGCAGTGCGTGCTCACCAGCAGTCCAGTACTGCGGCTTTCCCCATTCTGACAAGCTGCCACACAGCCCTCACTGCTTGTTAAACTCTGGTTGGTCTGGTTGGTTAAACTTCCCAAGATTAAATTCATATTGAGTTTAAATCGTTAGACTTTTCCTTGCTGGTCTGGCATTGTTTTGGAAGGCTTGTAATGAACGCGTACAATGCTCTGAGAATTAATCACGACTGTCGTATGCTGCTGCCATCAAGGCCTGAGCAGCCAATCCTTTGTGATGTGTTTTGGTTACGTTTGCCTTTCTGGAAGCCTGGGGGACAGCAGGAGAACAGCTCCAGGAAAGCTTTCCTGTGGAATCTTTAGGAACATATGGCACAGGCTTACACAGCCTGCAGGTGTTTCTGTACCACTGATGTTTTCAATCAAAGAGAACATGAAAATATACAACATAAAGGGAACTTCTTCTAGGGGCGGTGGAAATTAGAAGAGATCTGGCTCTGGGGAGGCAGGTTCAGCCAGTGAGGGCTCTCATATTACCATTTCCTGGGTATGAGGCTGGAATCCCGAGTCTGAAGCTGGGCCAGGCATGCGATACCGCCTTAAAAACACACTAGGACCAGGAATAAACACTGGAGTGCCAGACGAAAAGAAATCGTTAAAATGCTAAAATGCTGTTTCCCCTCCCAGCACTGTGACCTGCTGACCCCACACTGCCTCTTGCCCTGCTCTCCTCCATTCTGGTGTCCGCAGAGGAGCCCACTGCAGAAAGCAGTGCTGCGAAATGGCCTAATAACAAGTGCCGAGCTTCTCTATGGAAAAGAACAAGACTGCTTCTGAGCATTTTCTTAGCATTTTCTTGCTCTGTGTATCCCTTAGCAACTGAAGCAACAAACAGAACAGCTGGTCACTCTGTTCATATTTAAACCATTTAATAAGCCAGCTTTATTCCTTTGTATGTGATGATACAAAAACAGTGCTGCGCGTGAGCGGCTGGGTGCCACTGCCCACTAATAAAGTGTTTTTTTTTCTGGTGCCCATTCCCTGCTGGTCAGGGCAGTGTGCGGAACCCAGGGCCGCCGGTGGTGAGTCTGGGGTCAGGGTCGGTGGCCGCTACCTGTTTTCGGACGTATTCCACCATCAGCTCCAGCTGCCGCGGGTCCTCGCACTGCCTGTTGAACAGGTTCCTCCAGAGCGCGGCGGCCAGGACTCGGTCATCAGACAGTACTCCCTGCCGCGTAGAGCCAAATGTCACAGGTTGCACAGACTGTGAGTAAATACGCCTGGACTGACCGTCTTCTCTACTCTCAAACCTGCTAGCCGAGACCCTGTTCTACTTCCTTAAGAGTGCACAGAAATGTGTAACATTTACCATACCTGGTCAAGGTGTGAGCAATATTGTCAAGGTTACTGTCTTCACAGACCTCAGACAAGGTAAAACTGAAATTCTGGCCACAATCATTAAAGGAGCATTAGTGTCATACCTCCCTATTCCACAATGACGCAGTGAATTTTTTTTACTTATAATAAATACTAACTCATAATCAGCACAATTAGCAATGATTTGAATTTTATTAACAGTGATGATATTGCCAAACACAGGCAGGGCTATCCACCTAATTGGGACACATAGACAAAGACCAGTCTTCAATCAGCAGAGCAAGGAAGAAGTGAAAAAGTGTGAAACTAGCCAGGACAAGACATAAACACGAGCAGATTTTGCTTGTTTCCCAGGACTCATAGGTCTTCCATTCAAATGCTCAGAACATTAGATATTTATGGTCTAACCCTCTAGGATGTGCAATGTTGATTGCTTTTTCTATTCTCCTTCAAGAAGGTCACCACGCACAATGCTGGGATATAAACATGCTTACCTCATCATAGCCAAATATAGCAGCGTAGAAGTTCTGTGTCATGGCCCTCATGCTCGCCTTCAGGGCAACGGAGTCGATCTGGAACACGGGAGAGAGCCGTCACGCGAGCACAGCGCCACACAGCTCAGCCAGGCCGGGCTGCAGCCGCAGCGGGGGGCGCGTGCTGGTTACACCACTGTTTTGAATAAACAGAAGACGACTTCTGCTTTGCTGCGCTCTTTAAATCACATTTTCCACGTCAAACTTAGGCTTATTTTTTAGTAAAATAAACATTCCCCCAGGCTGGTGCTTAGCATCATTTCCTGTGAGTGAAATGCCTGGTTGGGCAGGTCAAATACGACAGCAGTGCATGTCTTAATGTGACTGTTTATTGTGCTTGGCACAGCCAGAGTGATTAGCATGTCAGGCTGATGATTATTTCTCACTGTTGTATTCTTCTTGTGAATATTATAATTAAAATATTAAAATTCAGGTTGCATGCATACTTTCTCTGTTTGCAGACAGATACAAGCAGAAGGCTGATCCAGCATTGCCACTGAAAAAGAACAGCAGTTGTTCAGCTTTTCCATGATATCAATTAAGCCTCATGGTTAATGGGTAAAGGAAAAGAGATAAGAAATTACTATTTTGCTTGCTAAAATACCTGTAGTTCGATGAGGCGAGATTGCAAATAGCAAAACAATCAAATCCATTGCCACAGAAATATTATGAAATTTACAAAAATATTAATCAAGTTTAAAAGGTCACAATATCACTTCAGATGTGAAAATCATAAGAGCCAAGCACCGTGGCCTGGAGAGAGCTATATAATATATCACCTCACCAGCAGGGGCAGAAACTGCTCTGGCATTAATATATAATTTACCATGAGGATATCATACAGCTGTTTCTTGAAAGAAGTGTAGGTTTTGATCTCAAGAACATGACTGGGTATTTGTTTCCAGACTCCCACAACCTTCTGCATAAAAAGTGCCTCCTGCTCTTGGTTTTAAATGTGCATCCACATAGTTTCCACTACAGTGCTCCTTGGATAATGTTTCACTATTGACGTCTACTGGGTTGACTTTGTCTAAACCTTTGAGGGGATTTTGAATATTACAAATCCCCTCAAAGTCATCTCTGTTCAAAACTGAACTTCATCCTGTCAGTGTTTGGACATTCTCAGAAGTCCCAGATGAAACAAATCCATAAAAAGCTATTAATAGCTATTAGCTATTAACCGTGAAGAAGGCTCCACGGCCGAAACGTTGTGTTCTCTTTCTTCTTTTTTTTCAGCATGGAATAAACCTATGACTTGTTCCTTTGCAGCCTACGCATGCTGACGCAGCTACCGACCTGAACTACTAAAAGCTATTAACTACCACTTTCTATTGTAGTGTCCATCATTAAGATGTTCAAGGCCACAGGAAGAGCCAGTACCATGATGGGAAGTAAACAGAAGAAATGATAACAAACTTTCAAGGCCTGAAGTTCCAGATCTCCCTAGTCTAGCATCATAGCGATACCACATCTCAAACACTACCATTCAACATCAACTGCATGAATACGCTATTCACTGTTGCAAAGACACAATTCCTTAGGATCAACACAAAAGCGTAGTATGGATTTACCAAACTACATCTCAATGACAGCAGGAATCATGTCTAACGGTCAGATGAAACGGAAATTGAGCATTACAGACATTCTCACCAGCATTATGTCTGGACCACTGTGAAATATGGAGGTGGCTCTATTTTGCTTTGGGAGAGTTTTGCATCTTATTGTCCAGGTGTCATACAGTAGCTAGAATTGAGGAAACGATGAAATCAAGAACTCACCAGAACTCTCTGCTAGAATGCTCAAGCTGGGTTAAAAATAGACATGCCAGCATTTTAATGGTCCCAAGCAAGACCAACAAAGAAATGGTTAAATTAATACAAATTCTCACACCTGAAGAAGGCTCTAAAGCCAAAAGATTGTTTCCTTTCTTTTCTTTTCAGCATGGAAGAAAACTGTTACTGGTTCCTAAATAAAACAATATCAACATACTTGACTAGCCATCTTAATCTCCACACATCAAATACATTTCAATTTTTGTGGTCTGAATTCAAGAAAGCAGTTCACAAAAAAAAATGAAATCTTATGGAGCTCGAGAAAATATGTATTTTTGAGCAAAAGTCGAAAAATCTTTTAGGAGACACAACCTTCTAAAATATTACTGGAAGCACTTTGTGGTGTGATCAAAGTAAAAACTGGATGCACAAAGTACTGACTGCAAAGGTTTGAAAAACTGAGGTCTGAGTATTTTTAAAACAATACACCATTCTGTGGAAAATAAATGATGTTGCTTCTTTCTGAGCTGTCTTAAAAAAGCTTATTTGCAATTTATTCCAAAAAAGAAAAAAAATTCTTCCTACAGAACCATTTTTCAGTAACTTACAACAAAGATATGAATACATACTGTAGGATACACGATGCCTTCCGTAACATTGTTTGTCTCTTTTATCACATTCCCATGTAAATTATGTCAACCTAAACACTTCCACCTTTTTCAGAGCAGCTTCCTCTAACTCTGCCTTTCCCATTTTTTAATTATAGATTATGGTTTTGCTTCCCGGTTTACCAATATGCACTTGTCTACATAAAACACATTCTTTCAGGTGTTTGACCGCCTTGAATTTTACCTAAATCATTTTTTAATTTCATTCACTGTCTTTTGGTACAGGAACACACAACCTTGTTGCTATTCCACTACTCCCCAGTGCCCTGCTGACAGCCATCGCAGGAGTGAAGGAAGTAGCAGGGGACAGAGGGAGAGCCCCCCGTGACAGACGGAAGTCAGCTTCTCATGGTGGACAGACCATGTGAGGCCCAGGCAAAGCAGGTGGATGAGTGACAATAGCATGTGATCACAGACACCACTCCTGCTTTCCATCTGTTTGGAAATGACTTCAAAGTTCCTCAAAGCAAGCACTCTGGCAAGTGAAGCAAGTACTAATGAGTATCTCCTGCCTGTGAGAGACTCCTCATAACACAATGAGCTCCCTCTGGGAGGTCTGGGCAATGGTGAGCTTTGCTATAACTGGGGCTGGCAGTAAAACTTTATAAAACTGTAAAATATTTTACAGATTGGCCCTGGACCTCTTGTGTTCTTTGCACAGTGAAGCATTGTGGAGCCATCACACAACATGAGGCCCTTTTACATGTTCTGTGGCTGTGTGTGTGTTTGTGCTATGTGAACGTGTTCCAACAAATGACAGACTTAGTTCCGGCCTAAGGGTTTACTACATGCTGAAGGTCTTGGTTACTCAACAACTCTACTCAAATCTTTACTCATCTTCTCTTTATCAGATAAAAAAGTCTCTTTTTCAGCCGATTAATGTACAGTTTAAGCAGCATCCTGGGTTTTGATAACTTCAGGCAAATGCAAACCAGAAAGATACGACAACTATGGCTCTAATAATTAAAAAAGAGCCAGAGAAGATAGCTGAGCAAACGTGATTACACTTGAAAGCTTAATCCCTAATGAAAACAGAAGTGGGACAAACAGAATTGAACCCCCTCAGTCTTTTGATTATTTTTGAAAATCAGTTTGTTTATTCAAAATCATTTAGGGTCTCTAACACCCAACTGCATTCAATATCTCCTGAAGCACCTGTACGTAATTAGAAACCTGTTCATAATTACCAACATGTGGTACAGTTTCGCCCCAAGCATGGCAGGCACAGCTCTATCCAGCAAAATATTTACTATGCTTCACAGATCAAACAGAAATGGTATGGAAGACAGCATATTGCCCTTTCACTAGTAATTAGTGTCATATCTCACTTCAGTTATTGCACAAACAGAATAGCCCCACTGTGCACATTACCTGGCACAGCTTTCCCACGCCACTGAATCCTCTCACGTGAAAAACATCAGTAAAATTGGAAGAAGTGACCAATGTTTTATTTTTCTGCACAACCAAATAAAACTATTATTTCACAAGTACCATTACTATGGTCCTATGCTTTCTCATTTAGTAAGGAGCACCTTGGAACTGAAGACAGAACTGCTGTAGAGGAATTTAAAACACAAGACATGTAAGACTGGTACTCAGTGAAGAAAGACAACATCTTTAACAACCAACAGGAATGTGATCCTGAAAGTGTTCGAAAGAAAACTGACCACTACCAACTGAAGAGTGCTTAGTTAGTGTGTCCCGTGATTAATATTGTGGTTTAAGCATTTTGATTTCTTGTAAGTAGTCACCACAAGTTAATGAAAGAAAGTGTTTTATTATAGGCCAGAGATCTGTTTTTTCTCTTTAAACTGTACAACACAGCTACAATGTCAGTTCTCAAATGGCCACTTCTCAACTAGGGAGACAAAGTTTCATGTACCATTCTTAATAAACAATTTTTCCTTTCCAAAGGTAAATTCATATCTAAAACCAATTCTTCACAAGCTTTTACACATAGTGAGCTGTGTCTTTTGGTTCGAGGGAAAGGGCATTATTTTTAAAAATCTTAATCTGAACTCAGTCTCCAGCCTATTTATAGTAAAAATTTAAACTTGAAACAAAACAGCACAGTGGAGTCATAAATTGTAATCTGAAGGTAAGAAATGTTTCAAAACAATTAATTTTCTTACAAACTATACATATTCCAAAATATTTTTTTAGTTACCAAGCATTTGTGATGTCCAAATTTAATAAAAATATTAAAAAAGAGGCCATATACTAAATATTTGCCATGACACAAAACATATTACTTCTTTCAACCCGGGAGAAATAGAAGTATTTATCAACAACAACAACCAGAATAATAACAATAATAAAAGGACATGCTAGAGAACTGATGGCTAAGTTTTTTAAGTGCCAAAGTCTTAGTAGCTCTGGAGGCTCTAAATTACGGGTAATATAAACAATGGTGGTGCTATGAAAACCTCTGCCTGCCATGTCCTGTTACGCTAACAAGGGTCTCTTTATAACAGTAACCTCTCCTAAGTCAGGGAAATTACAGACTTGCCCTCATTGTGCCCTCAGGCAAAACGGGTGGAGAGCTGGAAAATGAGGCAAGCTGTGGAGCTCAGCAACCAGCAGGCGCTGCCAAGCCCCTGGCTGTTGTGCGCAGGCTTCACTCCAGCTGGTGGAGGACATCAGCCACAGTGGGCTGCAGGCTCCACTCCTGACGGCAAGAGGACTCTGCACTGAGCAACACTTCCCCCTATTCCAGAAGGAGCTTCTCACTGTCTTTTTGAGATAATGTCTTCGGATACAGTGCAGGCAGGAGGCAGAGTGGATAGCAAACATTCAAAAGTCAGTTTAAGGTGCACATTGTCCTGCTTCCATTGAAGCAATTTTTTGAAAGTCCTGACACCAACATGAGGCCAAGCCGTCAGCAGACCCTAGCTGTGACAGAACACATTTAGCGGGAAAGCTCTGAACCACATGACAATGCACATCTGCTGCTCCCAGGGTGAGAGAGATTAACATATTCAGGGCTACATTCAGAGCTACATCTGGACTGTGCCATCCTCTCTCCCTTGCCCACAGAGCATTACTCTTAATGCCAGGCTTCAATAAATAAATGAGTAAACATATGAACCAAAAAATCATGGCTTTTTGAATAATTTCTTTTAATTCCAATTTATCGTCCCCAGGAGATCATTGATTTGGCTTTGGCAAATATTACAGCATGGAAAAGAGACAGACAACAGCACAGAAACACTGGTGATTTCACTGCTCAGCTCCTTCTCTCTCCACTCTTTGAAATTGTCATGAATCCAATTAAAATGAAAATCAGAAAATAACTACTGTGTAGCTGCCCATCTCTTCCATACGTATGTATGAGTACTTCAATGCTGTACAGTAATGATTTCAGGCAAAAATCCTTTCAGGTAAAAAAAAGTTATAAGATACTAATAAAGACAAATGCAAGAAATGCAGAAAAGCTGTTCATGATTTTATCACTCACTGTCAGTCAAGTTACAAATATTCTTTTACAATTTTGATATACAGCCTATAATATCCCACCATGTGACATACTCTGGTTAGGTTTTGATTTAGAGGGAGTTGGAAAATAAGCATGATTTTCTCGCTCTCTCGCTCTCTCGCTCTCTCGCTCTCTCGCTCTCTCGCTCTCTCGCTCTCTCGCTCTCTCGCTCTCTCTGGGGGTAGCAAGTTTGTCAAGTCAATCTGCCGAAACCAGCAACTCTTTCAAGACATATTACAGTTCAATTCTTTCAGAATCTTTTGACAACTTTGCAGCATTATTAAGTATTAGCACAAAACATGGAACACATGGAAACATAACTTTGAGAACTTTACAGTTCTTTGTAGTGCCTTGTCACCTTGGCAGGAGAGCTTGATAAACATGCTTTAGGACCCTTCTTGCCCTATAGATAACTAGCATGAGCACAAAAGACATGCTGAGCAGGCTGGCTTCGGCTTAGAAAGAGCACAACAAAAGAGAAATGGCACGCCTGAGACCCCACACGCACTAAAGAATTCTGAGGCGTTTCTTGGGAAGCTAGGCCCATCATTCCTAATTTTATCCCGAGGCTTGGGTCAGGAAAGGTGACCGGTCCTTGTGAAAATCATGCGGGACCTTGGTGGATATGGAGGGACATTGGAGATGGAGGAGGCTGGAAGATGCATGGCCTGTTTTTACAGCTGTGTCAATGCCACCATCCTCACTAACTCAGTCAGCCCACTAAGGTCCTCACCAAGCTCTCTGTTCATAAAGCAGCCACGTATTGAAAAAAAAAAACTATTCTTTTATGCCCGATGTATTTTCAAGTAATAAACATACCCAGATAAAAATGTACCCAGAAACGTGTATTTTTTAACTGCAGGATCGAAACCTGCTGCTCACAAACACAAGTGCACAATGTGGATACCTAGTTATCTGAGCTCTTGCTGGTCTTCTGTCAGAGTCTCTGTACAAGCCGACCAGGTGCTGCAACTCACCCCCATTATCTTCCCGCGCTGCTCCACATCCTCCCACATGGAGTGCACGATGTAGCGGCACATGTACTTCCCCGCACGGCCCTCCTGTCTCATTCGCACGAGGCACATCCTGCAGGAGGACAGAGCACAGTGGCCTGAGCATCACAGCACTCCACACCGCAAGGGAGCTGCCTTTCCACTGGGATTCACCTCAGGCTGTTGCTGCAGGATATATAAGAGTCAGGAAGCATAGCACACAGCAGGACCAGGTACACGTGTGGTGTGAGCAAGATTCAGCCATCATTTTTCTAAGGGCTACTACGAAAATAATGTATTTTGTGAGCGTAATTCGTAAGATGAAGTCAATACATCATAGTGTGTTCCAATAACCAGATTGTAAGGTTAACAATTAAGCTCTATTTTACAGTTTGCCAGTGAGATTAATATTACTATTAAGGAATAGGGACAGGTTCTGTTCAAGGAGATGATATATGTAGTATATTATGTATTCTAGGGTGCAAGGCTCCCCACCACTGTCATCCAATTAATCAGCTAAAGACAAAGCACTTCATCTGACCGTGGTTTGACACAGTGAAGAAACACGGCAAGCAGGAGAAGACAACAGTTAGTCAGGGAACCTTGTGCTCTTGCTTCTTTCTTGTTCCTCTTTCTCAAACAACTCTCTTCCACAGCGCACCTCAGCAAGCCTGAAGAACAGCACTGTGTTTGACATATTTGTATTATTTAATAAATTATTATCCTGTGTTTTGTTTTTGCAATAAAATCACTGCAAACAATACATTCTTTGAAATTTATTTTCTTTGAAATTAAGCAAATATTAAGTTAAAAGTAAAATGGAACTGTGCTATTCATTCCACTCAATGCAGTTATTGAGATGTAAGTGTACAAATGGGGTTTTCTGCCAGAGCAAAAGGCATTAAGGACCTGCATCTGTTGATGATAGAGAGTTCTAAAAGGGAACCTGTAAGGTGTTTGGCAAGAAAATAGCTATAATTTAAAGGCCTGCTCACAGGGCTGGGCATGACTGGTGCTGTCCTGGAGCCTGAAGTGTCCAAGCCCAGAGCAGAACAGGAGTGCATTGAGGTTTGTCCTGTCTCTGGATCACTCACTGGGAGGTGGGAGAATGTAAATATCACAGCTGGGATTAAAGATTACTACAGCTGTCAGCTAAAATCACTCAAACCTTGCTTTACGTAAATGTGGAACTTTTCCTGTCATGCAAATGAAAAGCAAACTTTCTGCTCTGAAAGCTGTGAAATCCAGTAACAAACCTGTCCCCAGGTGTTTGGACTGAGTTTGTTGGGGAGTGACATACATTCTCAAGAATTAAAAGCAACAGGAAATGTCATGAAAATACAAGAATGTCACTCCAACAGCACTGCGGTTTTAGATTTTTCCAACCTCACTTAATATTTATTTCATCAGTGATGCCAAACTATCTAATAGATCAAACTAATGCCTCAGTTTTAAAACAGTGAAAAATATCCAGACAGGTCACTAAGACAGTAGGAAACTGTTTCAGCATTTGAATCAATGTAGTTAAAAAAAGCTGAAAAAAAACAGACTCACCTCAAAAAATAACTTAAAAACCAAGCTCAGTAAAAATAAAAAGAAAGGTCTATAATTGCAAAGATAAGAAAGTAAAAACTATTACTGTGTTAGCTGTAGTAGTTCAGGTGGGTAGCTGCGTCAGCATGCGTAGGCTGCAAAGGAAGAAGTAATAAGTTTATTCCATGCTTGAAAAAAATGTTCAATTTCAGCATGGAATAAACCTATTACTTTGTTAGTTTGAAACGATATTAACTGCATATTATTGTTTCACTGGTTCTTATTCTGCTATGGATCCTACTTAAAGAATACTATAGCTAATTATTTTAAATACTACCCATCCATTTTCTAAAAGGTCTATATAATACAGGGCTGTGCGAGAGCCAGACGTATTGGGACAAGCAGCAGGCACAAGGCGGGATACACCCTAGACAGGAAAACCGTCCATCGCAGGCATATTTCAAATGCTAATGAAGATTAACAAGAATCACATTAATAAGACCAATGAATCTTGTTTCGAAGGAAACATGTATGAAGCAAATTATGTATAAATGCCACTATAAAATATGTCCGAGCTCTGCACTCACCAGACATGGAGCTGGGCCACAAGAAACCAGGAGTTGAGTGTGTCTGGGAGGGAACACTCTGCACACAGAAAACCAGGGGTCAGTCAACTTCCTCTTCACCTCGGACTCAACACAGGCCACATCCTCTAACACACAACGTACCACTCAGCACTAATACTCTAAGCTTGATGAGATGGAAAGTCACTAATTTATTTATACATCAAAAAGCTGCAGGAGTTAAATGCGTTCAGTCCACCTGTGTACAGGCATGGACTTGCCCTGGTCAAAATGTGTAAACATTTCTGACATGCCTGGACCAGAAGATGCAAGCAGAAGTACTTTCTACAGAGTTCAAGCTACTTTATGTGTCCTGTGAAAACCTCAGTACAGGCTTTCCAACAATCTCAGCAGGATCCCATCTCTCATTTTAATTCACTTTTAGGAGAATACTATTTTTTCACAATTAATCATGCCTTTTATCATGTAAAAGTTGATTCTGTCCTATTTAATAATGACTACATTTTAAAATCATGATGATCACCCACTGATCATAACGTTGGCGAACACTTACTTTCAAAAAAGTCATCATAGTTAATTCTTTCCACACAGCAGGTGTACATGCGCAATGCAGCAATCTTAATTTTCTGTTGAAAAACAATGAAAAAACAAACAAAACTTCAATTTATTACTGTGAGTATTAATCACCAATAGCTGGAACAGATGAGGCCTGGAATGGGCCTCTGAATCTTGAGTAATAAATATGCTGACACACTGCGGTTACTGGATGAAAAGCAGCTTAAGCTTAACCTTCAAGAGAATTTGGTCTTTTTTATGTCACCTTTGCTACACTTTGAGCATTATGAACACATAATTCAAATTCACACGTTATAAAAAGCAGAGGGTTTGGCTTGCACCAACAATGCCATAATGAGGGAGGAATGTGCATCATGGATAAATTACACTCTAAGCCAATGAGCAAATAACTGACTTGGCTGCTCCTCTCTGAGCTCAGCCACAGCTGCTCTGTATAACATTATTTCATGAGCTTGTGCAACTCTGAATCTGTAACTCTACTACCATCTCCTTCTGCACAGCTGTGCGCCTGCTGTTGTGGCTCGAGCTGGGGACACTGCGTATGGAGCGTCGGTCAGAGGGAGGCAACCGGTGCAAGCCGAAAAGGTACAAGGTTTCCACTATAAACTGGCAACTACCAAACCCTCGCAGGACTTCAAGCATTAATGTGAAATTCCAACACATCATGTGTCCCCTTCCACTGTAAATCAATCTCTTGCTACCACACATTTTCCCATCATATCTCTCTATTGACTTGTCTTTTTATATATGAGCCCTTTTAAAAAAAGAGTTGAACCACTGGAGCACAACCTGGCTCACTCACAAAAGATTTTCATAGACGTAGAAGTATGCAGCATGCATCCCCAGAACTGTAAACACTGATTTCCACTGCCAGAGTAAGGCTACAATGCATAATCATGAAGTCTGGAAAGTAGGAAGCAATGAAAAAGGGAACAACTATATATCAGTTGGCATTTGAGTGAAGATCCCTCTTAGCCTACTGATGCGACAGGCTCAGCTCAAGTATGGCTGCTGGCATGTGACTGAAGACAAGACCAGAAGGGCAGGTAAGCATGACCCAGAGGAATGAAAAGGCACACACCTACTGAGTCAGACAGTCTAGCAGAGGGGATGCAAGATCATTTACCCATTTATTATATTTGAGAGGACCAGTGAATCCCATGGCTTCAATAAGTTTGGTGAAAGCTCCCACTTCTTCTTCTGACGCCTGTGGTGTCTGTTTTACTGAGAAGAGCTGTGCGGGGAAAAAAAGTGCATTACAGTGAGTGAAACAACCACAGCACAGCAGCAGTGCAATGCTATAGGACCTTATGACCCACAAATACCACTTGCTGCACTCTCTGGAAATCATGACCTTCTAACATCTTTTCCTGCAGACTGTATCTTACAACATCTTACAATATCGTACCTGTGCAGTGCTGTGAAATGTCCTGCTCTGAGACAGTGGCCAGGAACACAGCTCCATTCTTCTGTGAACTTCAAGGGTTCTGGATAAACAAGCTCCCATCTGCCGAGTCTAAAACATAACGAAAACAATAATAAATGTTTCCCAAAAGTGCAGCAAGTATAATACAGCAGTAGCCCATTTTGTGCAAAACATGTTCAAGAAAACACCTATCTGATTTTAGAGTACTCATCACCAAATGAGTAGTCACTTAAACGTGGTTCGGACTGCTCCCTCAAACACAGAGCACAATGCATGTTGGGTGTTGTAGTTTGTCGGTAAAGTATGTCAGGCATTGTCATGATAACTTGAATTAAATATGAGTACTGCAATACCACATAGGAAAGTGTCATATTAGTAAGAAGCTGCATCAAAGTCGATTACATTAGTAACAATTAATCCACAAGCAAGAATATATACAGCTACTGTAAAATCTACTATCAGTCATGACTGTACCAGAATAAGGAGATCAACACCCATACTCCTCCTCTCCTCAAAATTAATGTGAAACTAATAAGCAACACCAAGCTAACAAGCTGTGATGTCTTCTGAGCTGTTAGCTACTGGCAATGCTGAAGATCTTTCTGAAAGAGGATGGTGATGTGCCATAGTGATTTCCCTTAGCCATCGTAGTGTTCATTCTGCCATGAGCTTGGTCAGGGCAACCAGACATTCCGTATAAGAACCAACACAGAAAGCAGAGGAGGATTTCTTCAGACAATGCGGTGCAAATCAGTCATAATCGTCTACTTGCTGTTACAGAATGACAACACGTGAATCCCTTCTACCACAGTAATGGATACAGCATGCAACTGAGCTTAGATCATTACATTTCTAAACATTAAGCTTCAGAATACAGCACTACGAAAACAACCTATAGAAAGGAGACCAGGGAATCAGCCTTAACAACATAATTAAGCACCTTATTTCAGACTCCCAGAACCTTGTGTTTTAAGAGCGCGTCTTGAATGATATCGGAAATTGCACACGATATTAAACTTCTACTCCTTATTTTGTGATGATTGGAATGCTGTCGGTAGACAATAACCTTGCACGCAAGGATTCGCGAGATACAAATCTTGCCACAAAACTTCACTAACAAACTCGTATTAAATTTAGGGGACTGAACACTACGTCACAAATGGGCTACTTTAGTATCCACAAATTGAGAAATTTCCGTCATTTTAGAGAAAGTTTCATTGTGGAACCAGCAGGTAAAATGCACGTAATAAGCGCAACCTTCAAAGACAACATATTCAATTAAATATATCCTGTCACAAGGCAAACTCATGGCTGCAAAGTCTTTCCTACAGCTAAGGTATTTACCTTGACAAGCGTCCCGCAGTGTGAAGTAAAAGAGACGCCGCTCCTTACAGCAGATTGCATAACTCGCCGATACATTTTCCTCTATTGAAAAATAATCTTGCCAGATGAAAAAAAAATACTTGAAAGTCGAAATATTATTTTGGATCCAGTCTGCACGTTTTGTAATCCTCCTGTCACCGCCCCTCCTCCTGCAATGTCAAAGGAACCCGTCCTACCGCGATATCCGCCCGGACAGGAATCTGTGTCTATAGCAACGGGTCCGCCTGCAGATTGAGAGCACACGGAGGACTGCAGTAACCTCGTCAAAACAGCATCGTTATGCCAACAAAATTAATATCAGAACGTAAAATGCAATGTTTCAAAATAAATAAATTCTGGATTTTCAAAGTCAATATACAATATAAAACTCAGCAGTGAAACTGCATTACTGTAGACACTAAGCATTAGACTTAATCATTAATCATCCATTTGTTCATTTTTAAGTAGACATCTTTGCATTGCAAACATGAAAGAAACACAGATATTATCCTTTAAACCCAGTGAGGTTATCAATATATTTAGCTTGCAGGGGGCATTGACTCCTCAGCCAAACACGTGCACCAAATGTCTGAGCCTGCAGTTCCTCTTGTACTTAGCAGGATTATCAATATATATAACTGCTTATCAATATCTTAAATATAATTTCACATTTTAATGTTCTGGTTTCCACAGGAAACGGAGTCAGACTCACAGCCCAGAAGGGCGATGCTGATTCTACAGGGCAGCAGAAAGACACTGCTGGCTTAGCTGATACAGTATGTCCCATCTTCTTCGCTGCTGTCTGTCTTTTCCCAGGTGAACAAAAAAGGTAGAAGAAATACGTGCTGGTCATTTGCCACCCAAGGCATCAGAATGAGGTGCCAATGCGAGGGTGCCCAACAGAGCTCACCATGACAGTGCTGTGCAGCACATGACCAGATATCTTGCAAGACAACAGCTGCTGAACCGGCCAGGGAGTGGGCTCATCCTGTACTGGGATTTTCCACCAATTTCAGGGTTAACTACAAGGGATAGCCATTGACTGATTTAGCCCATTCTTGAACAGAGATATAACCTAACCCCAAATTCAAAATGTGGACAAAGTTTCCTTCATTAAAATGTTTCAAGAATATGTTTTGACAATATCCTAGTGAACAAGGACAATTGTTCATTACATATAATGAAAGTGTATTGTGCTACGATAGTTTCCCTGACTATACCAGAGATCTGCTCTGCTGTGATCCAAGTATTGCACAATGCTTTAAAAATCCCAGGACACATGGCGAAGGGGTGCAAAGGGCTGATAACTCCAGCGGTGGTGAAATGTCACTCTGGGCTTGCAAATCTTAATTCAATAAGTGAAGTGTCAAACATGTCCACTTGCTGTGCTGTGCACTGGGGCAGGTGGCCCAGAATGGCTGCCAAGTGTCACCCAGATGCACTTCCCCACTGCAAGAAGGGTCCCCTCCTGGATGTAACGCACCGAGGGACCCTTTGTCCTGAAGGGTGTGGGAAAGAGATACTAATATAATATTCTGTGCTTTTTCTGCTTTCACCCTGATTTACCTTTTGCTTTACTATACCAGCAGCCATATCACCCTGCAACTTACAACAGGCAACCCACTGAAGCTAAGCAGGTGTGAGCCTGGTCAGTACCTGGATGGGAGACCTCCTGGGAAAAACTAAGGTTGCTGCTGGAAGAGGTGTTAGTGGGGCCAGCAGGGGGTGCTCACTCTACAGTCCATGTGGGTCCTAATACCCCAGTATAGTGACGGGGACACTATACTGTAAACAGGTGCTGTCCTTTGGATGAGATGTAAATGAGATGTGGTCATTAAAAATCCCAAGGGTGTGTCTCGTAAAGAGTAGGGGTGTAACCCTGGCGTCCTGGCCAAATTTCCCATTGGTCCTTACCAATAATGGCCTCCTAATAATCCCCATCTCTGAACTGGCTTCATTACTCTGCTCTCCTCCCCACTAATAGCTGGTGTGTGGGGAGCGTTCTGGTGAACTATGGCTGCGGTCGCATCATCCAGGTGGAAGATGCACAGTGGTGGTGGTGGAGGGGATCCCCATTACCTGTAAAGTGCTTTGAGTGGAGTGTCCAGAAAAGTGCTATATAAGTGTAGGCAATTATTATTATTATTATTATTATACCCTACTGTGCTTTTAGCATCATAATGAGCATTTACAGAAAACACAAAATCATTGACAAAGCAGGCTAAATCAGAATGCTTATTCCTTCCTGTAGCCAGTTGTTTGTATGTTGAGTCTCTATGTCCATTCCCTCCTGGACGGTGGCAGCTGGATTGTATGGGGCCGTGGAACTGGACTCTGCATTCAGCGTGGCCAGAGCTTTGGCCCTCAATAGCTCTCGTCTGTGTGCTGATTACACAGTGGAAATACGTCTGCATGCTTCACCTGGGATTTAAACATAAACTCTCCTGACCACTTCATTATTGACAGGCCTGCTTGGTATGGGGAGTAATTGGAGATTCAGTTTTGTTTGCAAATGGTGAGTGACAGGGCAGGTAACAAAGTACCATGCTACTGAAAAGGTGACGTAGTGCAGAAACCTTCCCTTACTGTCTGACTGAGCAGTTCAGTGTGGAAAATGTGAGAAGTTTAGACAGCACCAACAGGGTACAGTCTTACAGCATGAATATGAGCAAACTCTGTACTTCTATAATGTGGGTTTGAGTGACTTTGTGATTGTAGATTCAAATGGCTTCTCTTTGCTACCTGAGAGCTAGTACCAACCAATATTTCTACTTCTTTCTACTTCGTCAGAAAGTAAGAAAAATTAGTTCAAGATGAAATAATAATTTGAATTTCTATAATTTGTGCCTCACAGATTTCTTTTAAAACTGTACATAGAATTTAAAATTTACACTCCACACCACTGGACTTTTGAAATTCCTTCAGCAGGTCCGGTGGAGTGCTGTGGATTCCCCTTTCTTTCTTGAACACACAGGAATCTCAGAACATAAGAGATCCAAAGAAAGCATATAGTAGGCCAGGAAAGCCCTTGATCTTGGAATGATGGAGAGATGGAGAAAAACCCAGACCTCATCACTAAGCTATGTCTGCCCTGTTGTCCACACTTCATAAGCCTAACTCAACCTATCTGCCTCTCTTTTGGGATGATATGTACTGTAAGTACATACAGGGTACTGACACCCTGTTGTTATTGAGTAAATTCTCTCCTGAAACTTTACTACCTCTTGTTAGGATAAATGAATGCCAAATAAAATCAGGACCATTATATCTTAACAAAAATATTTATTGCACTTATTAAATCATTGAATTACTTTATTTTGTTTTAGTGTCCTGCAACTCTATGCACCAACGCGTCTCCTTTCCTTATGGATTTTCTGTTTTTTTTTAACTGTACCCCTGTGGCCTCTCAACCCAGACTTGGTGCTGGGCCCTAATGGGACCCTGTTCCTGGCTCCATCCTAAGTGGTCCTGGAAACATTTCTGATGCATTGTCACTTGCTGCAAATTAGGCACCTGAAAAAGCAAAGTAGTTAACTGTCTTCACAGATAGGAGGGTGTTAAAAACATGATGTCATGTTTCCATACCCCTCAAAGACCCCCCCCCCCACACACACACACAGCCCCACCCCTGAGGAAGCCAGACCACTACAGCACTTTGATTTAACAGTGTTTATTTTCTCTTTCTCTTAAACTCCTAAATCACTGTATTCCCTACATAATCATTAGACTTTTCTCCTCAGAAATTCTGCAAGCTTACTTCATTTCGTTTTTAGTTACCGTCTGTCTTCATGTTCTCTGCTTTTAAAACAAACACAGTTTCCGTTTCACATGGCTGAGCACAGCAACTTTTAAGGATTGCTTTTGATTCATAAGACGTCTGAAGACCTTTGGTTTAATACAATAAGTAAAATAGACGTTATGTTAAATGTTAAAACTCCAAGGTAAAAAAAACAGTTGGAAGATATTTTTCATAAATTTCTTCAGAACTGTCTTTGTCTCTGTGGTGTTCACTTTGTTCACTGTATGGTGTAAAATCATGCTGTTTGACTGCAGTTCTTTCTTTTCATTCACTATAAATTCACCATATATTCACTAAGCTGGTAAACAAGAATACTGCTTCTCTTCTACCAAATCCACACTGTGGATATTATTGGAGGTTCATTCTATCATCCTTTCTTTTCTCTGTTAGAGAGAGAAAAACAATTTATTAAAGCTGCGCACCAGTTTTTTAAAGTTCTTCAAAAGCAAAAAAGATTTATCTTTAAGGACATTAATCAGTATCTTTATTTAGCGTTAAGATATTAAAAGCTTTTCATTTCTACAAGTCCTTGAGGGGGTTCAGCTCTGTGTTCCCACTGAAACACCAACACTGATGAGTTGGTCCCTGTTCCAGATGTGACTTCAGCTGGTCCAACAAAAGCAAAACCTTTACAGCACAAAGACACATACTGTAGATTCTATGTGCTTAGAAAGAAATAATTCTTTTTATCCTGTAAAACTACCAATAATTTGAAATTAGAGAAAAACAGAAAACAAAGCACGAGTTTTGCATCCATGTGAAAGATTATCTATAGCATTAAATAATTATGATTATTTTGTTGTTGTTAAAAGGATTTTCAAAGGTATCAGTCATTCCTGTGCCCCAGCACAGCGCCATGAGTAACCACTGAGTCTGCCTCCTGCTGACTCTCTGGATCTTCTCTGATTGGGCTACTCAAAACCGATGCATGCCTGACTGCAGGGCTGCAGCAGACCTCATGGCTGGCCCATTACTAAATCTGTCATTTTGGTTATGATCATTTGCAAATTCCTGTGTTCAAGGTCCATTAACAATGACACTCACTTCACAAACAACCAACCAGTAAGTGGAACCATTTTTCATTCATATTGTGGTCTGTTTGAGTTTCACCAGCTGCAAAACAGAACTGTTAAAGATCGCTATGCCAAAATGCATGCTAATATGCAAATTAAAAACTAAAAATCTGCACCTGACAACTTGCTGGCAGGGCCCTGGTATGAGATTAATGTTGGATAAGTACCTGATTTCACAGCTCCCAAGCTGTAAAGCAAGCAAAACCACGCATCGCTGCGCCTGCAAATTGTTCAAAGGCATCCAGGCATCAGGCAGTTTCCTACCCCAGCCTCATCCAAAAATCACAAAATATGTAATGTACTTTTGCATGAAAGATTGAGAAAAATAATAC